ATTTGTGTAACTCGTGATTTTTATTTTAAATATTGCTGTTTTTGACTTCAGTAAATGGATATATAATTTGGTCAATGGCATAGCCAGAGCCAGCATTACCTACACTAATTTATATCTTGTGTATGATGCAATTCCCTTAAAATTAGCTTCAAATGTTGCATGTTACTTGAGTATATATAGAGTGTATATGTGTGTGTATATATATATATATATATATATATATATATATATATATATATATATCTGCTCACATACACACACTGGTGTTTCAATGTGATATAGCCATAATCCATTAGTAATAATTAACCAGACAGTCCTTGCTAAGCATTAACTTACTCAGATGACAAGTGTTTCAATGTGATATTACCATAAGTCACTAGTAATAGTTAATAGTAAAAAGTTAACAATAATTAACCAGACAGACCTTCCTAACTAATAATTTCCTCCGAGGCGTCAAAACATCACAGTTATATAATTAACATATACGCTTATGCAAGTTGATAAAGCTCCATATGTAGATATATATATAAGGATGCATATATATATATATATATATATATATATATATATATATATAATGTATGTAAAGAACAGTAAGATATATAATCCGATGTTCTTATTGATATTTTTTATTTCTATATATATATTCATTCTTTCAAACAGGTTTGGTTAAATAATTTAGACATACTATGTCTGTTTATTTTTATTTTAATCCTTTCAAGGCCACAAGTCAGTTTCTTGGTAGCCATAGTAAATTAAGAAAAATACCAAAATTTTCTTTCAAATAATTCTTATTTTCCAAGTACTTTCAGTTTCATCTGAGACCATCTTCAGGGAGTTAAATTGTCTGTGGATATGTATTTCTGTAAATTCAAAACATTTTTACTGTTCATTTTACTATATTATTTATCATTCTATATTAATTTGAAATTCACAAGCTTTTTTCTCTATACAAAGGAGACAACTTTTGTATTTCCCTATTTATTTATTATTATTATTATATATATATATATATATAAAACTTTGCTTCTACAAACATTTAAGAACTTAATTGCGTTATTCATAATTGATTTTATTTGTTTGATTGGAGAAAAAAACCATTACTGAAGGCCTGAATGATCTTTTTCCTCCACCATTGCTCAGTTAGAAAGACACAGTGGGACTGACACAAAACATGTTTAAACTGTTCTCTTTCTAGCTGAATAACTCAAAGGGTTTTTCAGTGATTCTTTCAACAAATCGTGTCATAATGGCTAAATGTCTTATCTGAAAACCTGGAAAAAAGAAACTCAATTGGTTTAGCGTTTTTTGTTGTTTTTTTGTTTTTTTTTTTTTTCTTTTAGATATTAAACATTTTGTAGGATGGACAATTAAGTTGTTACACCCAGTATATAAGCATATATATATATATATATATATATATCAGCACAAAGCCACAAGTCATTATAACCAAGGGCTTGAGTGTACTGGGATTGTTCAAACTGTTGATCACAACAGATTATCTGCTTGGTGAGTATTGGACAAACAAAAATGTGCCTGAGAAGGCATCTGTAACAGGGATTGGCTAGCTGCTCTAGAAAAACAGGCATACTCAGAAACAAGTAGCTGGCCATTTTACATACATACATACATATATATATATATATATATATATATATATATATAAAGAGAGAGAGAGAGATCTTATATATCTTATACCTATCATCCAGTTCACACTCCTCCCCATTCTATTGAACAGGAATAGAGGTTTATCCCTTGCTTCCTATTTAGGATTCAGTTTCCGGTTCCTTCTAAAGTCTATTTCAACTCCATCCTCCTAACATCTGCACCTGAACTCTGAAATTTTATTCACTATTTAATTTTATTTTATTTTTCTCCTCTCCTCCATCACCAATAGATTACCCACAATGCATCACTGACCCATATATATAAATAGTTGAGAAAAAATGCAACACTCACGGCCTGATCATTGCATCTAGCATGAAACAGCCTGTCACCTCTGAGTGTTGACTCCAATGTTCACTTTTATATTTTTATATATATATACTGATGTTTGTCTGTATTTGGGCAAACAAAGTTATTTCAATTTATAATATTTTGAAGAACAAGAGAGTAAATATTGAAAAACAGTCTCTCAACTTTTGTTCATAATGTGTAAAATGTTTATTTCTCTCGACACACACATTATTGGCATTTATAATAATATTGTAATATTATTATAAACATACTAAATCAAATATTTTCATAAGTAGTGAATACCTGCAATTTGCTTTTTAACAACAGAAGTACTGTTTACTTTATATATATATATATATATATATATATTTGGTTGGATAGATGTGAGTTTGTAACCCTGTTATGTTAGCTCTATCTCTGATATTGAGTGCTTTCTAATAAGTACCGTGCATATAATATATAAATAATTATACATACTTATATTTATTTATATTTATATACACTTTTCACATACATATATATATATATATATATATATATATGAGAGAGAGAGACAATTAATACAAAAAAAGGTTTGTCACTTAGCTGATTGATGTTACCTTCAGCTTCCCAACTATATATATATAGTCAATTTCTACACACACTAAGTTTGAAAAAGAAATCTCTTGTATGTACAATTGAAAATTACAATTAAAAAAATTAACCTAGTACCTTGTCAGTCATTTTTAAGGAAACATGTATTATAGAGAGAGTTGCCCAAAAGATACAACTTTTTCTCCACATATATATATATATATATACACACATACTCACATCGAGAAGTCGGTAATATTAACCTGCTTTTCATTTTTTAAATAAAACAATCATGTTTGTGTGTTTATGGAACCACCATATAGAAAGAAAAGAAATAGTTTTATATCAGTAATGTATATTTAGTTGGCACCTTACTAGTAAACAATCAGCTTTCACAAAGGTGAACTTGATTGTCTTGACTCACACAGCATATTTTTGGATACCAAAATCTAGTAGCAGTGATTACCTGTGCTAAGTTCATACTTTCAGGTGGTGAAGGCCATGAAAACCTCTTTTTTTTTTTTTTTTTAAACTTTTGTAATATACAAAACAGAAAATGTATTTGTTTTTGTTGAACAAATTCTAAATTGTTTTATGAACTTTACCAAAGATGCTAAAGTCTTCATTAAGAACTTTTTTTTTTAAATATTTCCTAAAAAAATACCAAAATATGGAGCATTTTAACTGATGCAAGACAAAATGCTAAATTTGACAAAAGATTTTCTTTAACACTAGCAGACAGTTTATCACCAAAAAGAAACGAATAGAATTTTTTTCATTTATTTATTTTTTTTTTTTTTATACAAATGTACAGGTAACTTTAAACTTATATTTCACTTAATAAAAATGACCAAAGGACTTTTCTCTTTTATTTGTTTTTAAAATCTTTCAACCAAACTGGATTTTTATTCTTTCAAATTCAAAATGGATAACATTTTTTAAATAGGGTGTGGTGTTTATTTTGGCAACCCACTCTCTGTAAACAGTAACACCAAATGGAAATATGTGCACATTCTCTTGATACTAATGAAACAACACTTACAGGAATTGATATCCAGAATAAACTCAATTCTCTTCCTGCAACTGTCCTTTATTGTTTTCAGGTTTCTCTCCTACTCAGGAATTTAACAGTTTTCCAGCTATGAAAGCATCAATGAAAACAAAAAAAAATATCAGGATTTTAAACATTTTACATCTTGACTATTTTCACATGGATATACAAAATATGTTAACATTGTCGTTACCTTATCATGCGCTCTTTTGAGAAACTTAAATTCATTTTGGTTTAGGAAAATGGTGATGTAACCAACTTAACACATGAAGTGATTTTTATTTTGGCTTTTTTTCTTTTTTGTTTTGTCTTGTCTTTATCATGGTTTTGAGTGAACTCCTTTTGAAATAACATCTACAAACTAATACTGTCTTTCATTTTATATATATATATATATATATATATATATATATATAACAATATGGATGCGTCTTTGTACCGAAGTATTGCATTTCCACATGAATACTAAATTTATTTGTATAAATAAATAAACATACAACTCAAAGGAAAAGAAAATCACATTCTTAACTCAGACAAATTTGTTAACAGTTGATATTTATCCATTTTTTTAGAAACATTAAAGAACACTGTTAAAAACTTGATTTCTCTTGTGACTTTATGGAGTAGAATCACTTTTTTATAAGAGATTTTTTTTTTGTTTTACAAACTGAGATCCCTTTTTGTCATCTTTAAAAGTATTTTTCTGAGAAATTGAGAAATATCAAATACACTTTTTTTTTAATTATTGTCATCTTTAATATCACTTAAAAAAACTGTTATATCTTTAATATCAAATCCACCTTTTTTAAAAGCCGCTTTTTTAAAATGGCTGAAATATATCTACATCAATTCCCCTTTTCTGAAAATCAAGTTTTGTTTAAAAAAAAATAAAAAATAAATTATATAAGAGCAAATTACCCATTTTTTCAATCATTAATTTCTTATATATACCTATAACACCAATGCCCCCTTTTTAAAAATCAACATGAAATACACTTAACAATCAAACCTCCCCATTTTTTAAATATGAAATATACCTACAACATTAAAGACCCTCTATATTTTTTAAAAATCACTTAAAAAAACAGAAATATATCTATAACATCAAAGCCCTTATTTTAAAATCACTTTAAAAAAAAAAATTAAATATACCTATAACATCAATACCTCTATGTTTTTGAAATCATTTTTTTTTCAATTGAAATATGCCTATAACATAAAAGTCCTCTCTCCCACACACTCTTTAAAAAAACAGATATATCTATAACATTTTGAAATATATTACGCCTGTTTTAAAATCACTTTGTTATTTTAAAATTCATTAACAAAAAATGCAAAAATAAGTTTAATCAGACATAATCTGTACAAAGTAATCATGGCATCCCTTCCAAGCCATTTAAATTTGATGTTTTGTCCACAGGAATATGAATGTGAATTAAATGCAAAAGAACAAGAGAAAGACAGCCTAATACACCAAGGAGAAGCACTTCAGAAGTGCAGCAGTGAAGTGCATAGTTCAGATATTGCACTTCGATCTCAACAAGTTGAGCAGAAGTGGCAGCACCTACAAGCCATTGTCAGTAACAGGTAGGTGTATTTTTCACCTTACTTTTTTTACCAGTTCACTATAATTGTCCATTTCATGATCATGGAAAGTTTTCAAAGAACTAAATTCTGCTGAAGACATTTTGATCTTTCATTCCTTACTTGTTATTAAGATGAAGATTATGACAATTTTATAATTATGGAACCAATTTAAACTAGTATTGTATTTTTGTCAGCTTTACTTTCTTTATGTACTTTTATTATTTACATTTGTTATATACCATGTATGATTACAAGAGAATAAACAAAAGTCCTGTCAGTGAGGTAAAAAGAAAATGAGATGCAAGATGTTAAACTCAAATTCTCTGTATTGCCTGTATAAATGATCATGGTAAAATGTCTCTTTGTGGGCAAGGGAAGCAACCTGGAGGATGGAGGAGTCAATAGTGTATAGGCCTGGTGGTGAACCTTGTGTCAGGTCAGATGACCCAGAGCCAATGCTTTGTCATGAGCAGGTTCTTTTAAGCAGTCAGGGTGGATACATGACTCAACATTTTTTTGTCATGCTTTTGCTTTAGCAGCAACATTCATCATTGGCACCAACATTTAAATTGTATTTTATATTTTAGGGGGACTTTTTGCGAGCTGGATACAATGCTTCAAAACCCTGCACAGAGAGCAATGGTTTTATTTTGTGTTTGTAGTGTTTGTATCCAGCTGACCGGTTTTGATGCGGAGTGAATCAGAAAGTGATTTAATTTTGAGCATAGTATAACACATTTTAATGTAATTGTTCATACCTACCTACCTTGTGCATAATACTTTCTGTACTCATCTTAAATACTTTAACCTAAGAATAAATAAAACCCAATGCTGATCTGCCAATAAACATGGAATATACTATATTTCATCTATCTATATCTATAATTCTCAAAATGTGTGTGTGATCAGATGTTGTTTATGCATTTCCACAGTTTTCATCTGATTTTGATGAAATCTTTTTCTTTACGCATTTCCACAGTTTATTTCTGATTTCGATGAAATTTTTTTTGTTTGATAGATAATTTTTCAGTGCCAGTTTTGAGTTCAAATTGTTGGCAACAATGGCTCTCCACTATCTTCTTTCATAAAAAAAACTTTAATAAAAATAGATAATTTAAATCATTACAATAATATTATTATACAGTTCCCTTTTCAGGCCCCCCTTTCAAATTGCTAACCCCCAATTTGGGGATGTGTCTCAGTTGCATCCAAATGTTGTTGCTAATATTGATTTTCAGGTGGGTTGACTTCAAACTTAAGCTGCTCCACTTGAACAGCAAAAATTCCCAGTAATGAAAGAGCCGGTCAAAGATGGGTTATATTGCTAGTATCATATAAGATACACTTTTTTCCCTCCAAAGACTAACCTTCCAAAAATCACATGACACTGATGATTGAGGTTATCAATGCAAGATCAACACCAGATCCATCCCTGTTTAATATAACTACTTGACAAATTATAGTGAATAATGAAAAGTATAGTATTTATATCAACCAGTATTTAGCTACTGAAAACTTTTTTGCTTTTTTTTCCTATATACTGGGTATTCAAAAGAATAGTTTTTTTTTTTTTTTAATCCAACATTTTATTACTTCAAACAATATTTTTAGTAGATGGCCATATTTGAAATAGAAATCCTTTCTTTAAATAGTATATATTATGTTAGCTTGTGCATGCACAATTTTTTCTAGAGTATACAGGCCAGTAGATGTAATACATACTGTTTAAAAAAAAACAAAAAAACAGGGTATCTATTTCAAACCTGCTCATCTACTAAATATAATGTTTTGAAGTTATACAAATGTTGGATTAAAAATAAATCCATTAATTCTTTAGAAATTGCTTAGTATACATTTCAGATATGAAATCTAGCAGATAGAGGCTTTTGTGAAAATCTTGGAGTGTGCATTCATTCTTTAAAAAGGGCAAATAGAACCTTGCTAGATTATGATTCTCTCTGTGTTTTGAGTGATCTAAAGCATGCCAGATTAGATGGGGGTTTCTCATACAAAGGGGAATGCATGTTCAAACCCTTCCAGAGAGTACATTTTCTTAAGTTTTGGGGCTGGTAGATGTAATACAAACTGTTTAAAATATAAACAAAAAACAGGGCGTCTATTTCTAACATGGGCATCAACTAAAAATAACTTTTGAAGTAACACTGGATTTTTCAAAAATGTAAGAGTTAGTAGTTAAACATAGTATAGCAGAAAAAAATTGAGGAAGAATAAAAATGACTCACACTAACACTTCATTTTCCAACCATCATGAGTATTCACACATGTTCACAAAATATAGAGACAAACATCAGAGTGTCCTGGGTAAGATGTTAAACTACGTCCAGCAGCAAGATCTCTGATCAGGAGGTTTTGAGGAGCGTGGGACCACCTCTTAATTGCTGGTGTTCCCAGGTCCACCCTGACCTGGGCTAGTAGCACCTGTTAGGGGTCCCAACTATGGGCAAATAGTTAACTATTACCAGAAATACTTTTTTGAAAAAAATTATTACCAGCAATACAATTTTGAAGGAAATATATTACCAGAAACAGAATTTTGACAAAACAAAATATTACCAGCTATAAAAAATTTTGTCAGCATTAAATAACCCATTGAGGTTGATATGCTGTAAAACAAAATAAACCAAACCAATCTAAACCAAAGAATACATATTCTATTCATATGAATCTATCCTAAAAATCTTGTTGGCATTAAATAACCCATTGAGGTTGATATGCCGTTAAGCAAAATAAACCAAACCAAACTAAGCCAAACATCAGAACTGTATTCATTTTGTGTATAATGTTCAAATTCTACAAACTTTCCATTAGAACCTTATTCATTGATTTTACTCTGTACACTTAACCAATCTGCTCAAGCAACAGAACAATGGCTTAATGGATATATTAGTTACCTGCTTACTCCCAGTGTTTAAAGCAGGGCAGGGTTCATTTGTTAATTTTATGTATCTGTTTTTGCATGGCTGAGAACCAAAGAAACAAACAGAAAACAAAGGCATCATTAAAGGTTGATTTGGTCAGACTAGTTTTCTTGGTGGTTGTAATATAGCTAGGAATTATTTTGCACATCATTATATTATTTAATATTATACAGAGTGAGAATCCTTTATCTGAAATTCTTGGGACTGGAAGGGCTTCAGTTTTCAAATTATTTCAGAGTTTGGAATACAGGCTATTTAATTTGTATATGGTATCTATAAAATGGAGCAGCTTCAGAAAGGAATTCAAGCATAAACACGATATTCCTTTACATTTCATAACACAGCTTATGCATATATCCTGAAAGTAATTTTATATAGAATAAATTTTGTATACATACAGATATAGGTAATGATGATAATCTTGTAATGCTCACACAGATTTTTAAGTGTTGAAATCAAGATTTCACATAGAAATAATGTTTTGCATTTCCTGTACATGTCCAAAAAAAAAAAAAAATTATCACTACTTACAAAAAATATATAAATGCAGGACTTTTTGAATAATATCTTTATTATGCACAAAACGCCCGGTAAGTAATCCATGAACGAAGGTTTTGGTGTGACAACTGCTAGAAAAATTGCACCAATATAGGCTACATATACACCCTCAAGGCAAATGAGATCACTTACAACAACTGCACATTACCTAGGAATCTTCCCAATGCTTTCTGAAGGATTAATGTTCTGAATGTCAAAAGCACAATAGGTTCTGCTAATTAAAAGTAGCCATTTCCTGCAAGCGCCTAAGAAAAGTTTGTCCAATATCTTAAGTGTTGCCTAGGTCAAGTTATTTGATCTGAGTAAACAGTAAAAGAAAAATATTTCTAATTATAAAGCAATTGTTTACACTGTATTAAACACTTGTACTATAAGCAACCAAAACTTGTTCACATTACCAGGAAGCACAAACTTAAAGAGACGTTACAAGCAATGCAACAGTTTGACCGTGACACTGATAATTTGAGAAAATGGTTACAGCAAATGGAGGATAAACTAAATGCACCTCTGGTCTACACTGAATGTGATTATAAAGAAATAGAGACACACCTGGAGCATCAAAAGGTAAGCCCACCTTTAGTTTTACTATTGTAGTAACTTAATCGTGAGATCATGAGATTAGAAGCCATTTGGTATTCCAGATATTTTGAAAATGATCAATATTGAATAATATCACTGAATTTTTAGTTCTGGTTTATATAATTTTTAGGCCATGTTTGTTTTTCATAGCTTTAATGTGCTTAAAATAATTTTTGATAATTATCACAGCTGTTTTGATTTCTTTTATAGGATATGCAAAAGGATATCGAGCGTCATAGTGCTGGTGTGTCTTCAGTTCTTAACCTCTGTGAGGTCCTTCTGCATGATTCAGATGCTTGTCGTACTGATAAGGAATCGGCTGCATTGAATAATACAAAGAATACGTTGGAAAAACGTTGGCAAGTCATTTGTAAACTGTCTACACAGAGAGAAGCAAGGTAAGATATAATTCCTTTCTGATCTGTGGTCAAGTTGCCAAATTGAGTTACATTTGAAAGCCCAGTGATAGTAAATTAAAAATTGACTTCTTTTTTTTTCTCATCTTTTCCAATACAAATTATCCCAGATTGTTTTTAAAAATGTCCCTAAAAGTTGGAATGATTCAAAATTTACTAACATTGGGCTTTCAAATGTAGCTCAATTTGGCAACCCTGACATTGAATTGTTTTCACACGACATGACAATATGTAATTTTAATTTACTTGTATCTTTTTGTGCCTTTAATTCTATCTTGGGAACCAAACTCTTCAAACATTTCATCCTGTTCCTGATTGCAAGAATTAGGTTTTTAACCTGACTTGTTTATAAGGAAATTCAATTCAGAATCTTATATCACACAATGGTAATATTGTTTCCTAGTAAGGAAACATTCTGTATTCATCAAACAAGCAGCTAATGCAAGTTGGAAATTATTAAATCTTTCTATCAAAACAATTTTTCAGGATAGCAGGTTTCCCAAGTCCAGTAGCTGCTATCACTCTTTCTAGTAAAGGTGGTTGCTTCCATCTTAACTTTTTGTTTGGAGTAACATCAACATTTTCATTACACCATTATTCTTTCTTCAAATTACATGTTATATCCATTTTAGTTTTTGCTGCTGTTGAAAGTCCTTAAGTGATGTGGTTTGGGATTCTGCAGCACCTCCCCATGAGGTTTGAAGAAGGATGGTCCTAGCTAAGACCTTCAGGCTTCACTCACTTGAAGCCATTTTTAATCATTGACCTGAAAAAGTGGTTGTATACAACTGTTAGTTTAGATATTTCTGAACAAGCTTATTTTAAAAGTAGTCAAGTATCAAATGTTAAAATGCTGGATTTTCAAAACTAACCAAATCAGGTAACCTCATTTTAGACAAGAAATACTCATCTTTGAAGTTGATTCTAGTGACCCACCACACCACCATTTTTATATTGATTATTTGGAAGTATTAACTATCATTAAATTTCCAAGAATTCTTCCCTGATTATTCATCTAGTTTTCTTACTAAGAAAACTAAGGGAAATAATTAATTAGCAGTTAATAAACCTAGAGTTTTCAGAGAGAATGTCTTGTGAGATAAGGACAGTTGTATGAAATGTTTATTGTAATATAATATGTTACAGGCTAACAAAAAGCTTTTAATCACATGGGTTTGTCTGCTAATATACCTAATAACCAATGATGGAGTGAGATTATCTTCCTCGTATCACTTCACAGTTCCAATGATAAGAGTCAAAGGAACTGATTGAATAAGGATGATTTCATTAACCTTACATATTGTAAGATTCACAGAATAAAAGTGAGAGAAGAGTTTGTACCCTCAGATTTGTCTCTTTAATTCAGCAAATGGTTCATAATGCAATTTCTATTAACACAATAACATTAAAAGCTCTTACTTGGAGAATAAAGCAATTCTCAGTCCAGTCAGGTCATTGATGTTTGAGTAATTTTTTTTTAAATCTGTTCAAGAGAGATAACTCTAGGTTTATTAACTGCTAATTACATTCATTTTTTTTTTTTCATTTTTTCAAAAAAGAAAATTAGAAGAATAAACAGAAAAAAATTTTGGAAGCTTAGTGATAATTAGCACTTGTAAATAATTATAATATGAATTCTATCACTAGAAAGTGATTTGACATAGAGTTAAGGCTGCAAAATGCTGTGACATGTGTTTAAGTATGTGGCTCAAAAGGGTGTTGATTTATGGCCATATCATGTTGAAACACTAGTTCTCATACAATCATCAAAGTTAAGCAACATTGAGCCTGATCACTACCTAAATGGTTAACCACTCAGGAATACCAGGTGTTGTGAGCTTGGATATGTAGATGGTGCAGTAGATAACAGCTTGGAGATCAGAGAGCTGAGTTCCAATTCCAGCTGTGTTCATTATATTCATTTATGTGCAAATATCCTTGGAAAAGGTGTGAATTCTCCCCACTATGGGTTAATTAGTATGACTTGTGACAGTGACTCATATCCCCAAAATTCTTATAATCAAAAATATTTTCAAGCTTTAAAAAAAACCTGCAAAAGGTTGATAAGTCACAAAAAAACAATCAATTAAAATTGTGTTTTGTAACCACTATCATTTTTACATTGTGGACCAAATCAGTTTCGCCACTGTTAGTTTCTGCAGGTTACTTGAAACCAATATACTAAAGTTGGACTGTATCTTATTTAAAAACAAATCAAATATTTTTTTTCACCAGGAGAAATTTTTTTTCTCATAGTGTTGAATGGTACAATGTGTATGGTTTGTATTGTCTACTTTTATTGTCCTTAGTAAAGAAACCTTCCCGACCTTACTCATCAGTGAAGGAGAGCAAGAGAAAGACTTCAAATTCTTTTGCTTGCTACTGTCTAGCAATTTTAAGCTGTGTGTTCATTAAGAGACAAAAATTCTCATTGAAAAATTTTGGGGAATGAATCTCCTTTTCTTACAAGGAAATTTAATTCCTGGGCAAATAAAAAGGCACTCAGTCCTGCCACATCCTTCGTCTTTTCCCATTGCCAATCCCTTTATGATCATCAACTGATCCTATCAAGCATAACATATATTTCAGAAATACAATATATTTCCTATTTAATAGTTACATATTTTTTTCTCTAGTTCTTAAATTTGAAGATCTCTTATGGTATTTCAGATTGATTCATAGTGAAATGGGTAGGTGGTTCAGCAAACCACTCTCTAAAATGTTGTTACCATAATATTGAACATTGATAGTCTCATCACTGATGTTTGAGCTTTTTTTATTTATTTCAGCATTAAGGAAACTAGGAAGCAGTTGCAATGTTTTATGACTCTCTACAATGACTTTTCTGCTTGGCTTGATGATACTGAGAAGGCTTTACAGAAATATGATGAATCCTCACCTGAAAGCAAGAACAGTCAACATCGGTATTATCAGGTAAGAAATTTAATGTTTTAATAGAGGAGTAAATAGGTTTGCCTATCACCTGGTTCAAACTCTTCTTTGGGTTTTTGAACAAGAGTAGAGGTTTAGTCTTAGTTTCCTGTTTAGGATTCCTTCTAAAGTCTTTTTTATTCTCTTTCATCCCCAGTACGCCTTTGCATATTAGTGGCATTATTGCCTTGCCTAGAGTGAGTTGATTAAAAAAAAAAAAACAAGTAAAGTGTATTGGATAACCTTTCTTATGTGTGGGAATAGCTGTGAAGCAGAGGTTTTAAATTCTGAAATGTCCTTCTTCTAGACTGAAGGCTAGAGTACTCTGCCTTCTCTTTTGTTTCACCTCTGGCTGAGTTCACTGATCCCACTTTCCATGCTGATAACCAGTATGCTATGCGCACATGAAGAAGGCTTCAGGAGTCAACCCTGAGGAAAAATCCAGAGTCAAACTCCCTAAGATAGTTTGAGGCTGAATTCGGTAACATTCTGGCAACTCCTGGGACCATGTATGTTGGTACTTTTCACTGGCTCATTTCAGCAACATAAAGAGGGAGGGTACCTACTGCATGGGTAATAATCTGTCACTCATATCTACCTACCCAGGCTTTTTGTACTGCTGGGGAAATGGGGATCAGCAGAAACTACAATGGATGTTGTATCTGAAACATTATCCAGAGTACAACTCCATAGTTACCCGTGATGCATAGAGAAGGGCATTGAATATTAATGATCAGTAGAAATTGTATATTACTATTTCCCCACTCCGTATGCTTTATTTTACATTTCCTGTCCCTTCAGGACATAGGCAATCATAACTCTCCGTAGATTCCTTTCTGTGAATTGCTGGATATTCTTTGGACATATAGTTGGGTGGTTTCCCCTTCCTTTCTCTATGGTTTGAAAAAATCCAGTCAAACTCCCTAAGATAGTTTGAGGCTGAATTCAGTAACATTCTAGCAATTGCTGGGACCATGTGTTTCAGTACTTATTTTTCAATGGATCATTTCAGCAACATAAAGAGTGCGGTACCTACTAGTGGTGGGCCATTTTCTTTTTCTTTTCTTTTAATGCAATATCCCTTCAGGACACAAGCAATTATGACTTACTATAGATTCCTTTCTTTATTATTAGTGAATTGCTATACATTCTTGTGGTGGGCTATTTTCTTTTTTTAATGACATATCACTTCAAAACATAGGCAATCATGACTCACTAGCGATTCCTTTTCTGCATCATTTATGAACTGCTGTGACTTCTTGGGAAATATAGTGGAGTGGTTTTCTGCTGCTTTCTCCGTGGCTTGGAATTGAAAGTTTTCCTTCTCATTAATAGGTTTACCACTCAATGCTGGAGAGCCAAGTCTACTCTGCTATTTAACTTATAGCTGGTGGGGAGAAGAGATGAATTTTCAAAAGTGAATGCAACAAACTGGGTGGGGATTTGAAATCAACTCCTCAGTTTTATTTTTATGCTGATAACAATTGCATCTGTATTACTAAACCTGAGATTTAATTATGTATTAGTACAAAAGAAAATTTTTTACTATTGTAATTTGTACTCATTTTTCTTTCATTTTCTCCTTGCCTAATGTAAACAATTATTTACAAATAGACTCTCAGAAGATCATGTGCAGGCAAATATATTAACATCCACATGTTTGGGTGTAAACAGTTACTCTTTACTTAAACGAATGCATATTCAGCCTATTTATCTACATACAATATGTGCACACGTGTTTGTAACTTTTTCTCTCACGTCATTTGTGTAATGTGCATTGTGTATGAACATGTCCACTGTATACCTATGTGTGTATATATGCACGCAGACATTTTCATTAGCATTCTTTTGATAAGCAAAACATGATTAGCCATTTGTGAAAAATTTATATGTCACAAGTGTTAAACAAACAAAAAAAAACAAAAGACTACTTCAGCCAACAAAACTTATTCTATTTATGTTTGTCTTGACTGGAGGAAAAAAAAAAGTCATTGCTTCAAAGTTATTCATGACTGTAATCAACACACAGAAATAGAATCAAAGACGAATGCTCTGGAATTACTTTAGATAAGAAATGCAGAAGTTTTTGGTTTGTAAATGAGTCTTTTTATATTTGTCTTTCTCTATTTTTTTTTTGTACTTTCTTTTTATGAAAGTCGTAATGAGCATCTGTTGTTCTCGGTGTTCTTATTTAAATTTTTAAGAGCAAAACTTTTATTTCATTGCTTTTGAATGAATTCTCTCGGAACAACGCACTGCCAAATATATATATATATCTGCTCTTGATGCATCCCAAAATATTAAGCTTTGGAATTTCAAAGAGATGGTATTATCAATATTCACTATTCTTTCTGTTTTCACCTCAACTGCTTATCTATATTCTTTCATAGTTACATCTACAGAATACCAATTTTAACTTTATAAGCAAAGCTGATTACCTATTTTAAACAATTTGTACATTTATAAATCTATCATTCATCAATGCATTGATTACTGCTACCATATCTGGCCTGGTGCTTCTATTATCTCTCTTGAGATTATTGACAAAATTCAAAGAAGAATCTATAATGTAATCAATCCTGACCTGGCATCTTGACTTCAATCAAATTTCACCAACATGGCATAGTTTCCTTCTGTCTTTTCAAATATTTTAATGGTCATTATTCTGATGAGCTTTTCTCCTTAGTACCTCAACTTCATGAATTTAAGCATGCTACTAAATTGATAACTGTGTTTAATTAATTAATTACTGTTGAACTATCTAAATACAGTTCTATTCTAATTCTTTTCTTGTCTGGGGAACTCTCTTCCAATTTCTTGCTTCCCTGCCACTGTTCATAAATTTAAATGCAATGTCAATCACCATCTTCTGTCTTCCTGAATCCTGTTCCTTTATTGTCCTTTTCCTCAATTCTGACTAAAGTCTTCTCATTCACTCCCTGTAAACTCTGCATCCTAGAGGCATTACCACCTTGCTTAGTGGGAAATGATTTTTAAAAAAAATTAATATTGCATTTTTTCTTGCTTTTTTCTTTCCTTTTTCCTTTTCTTTCCTTTTTCCTTTTCTTTCCTTTTTTCTTTTCTTTCCTTTTTTCTTTTCTTTCCTTTTTTCTTCTCTTCTTTTCTTCTTCTCTTCTTTTCTTCTTCTCTTCTTTTCTTCTTCTCTTTTCTTCTTCTCTTCTTCTCTTCTTTTATTCTTTTTATATTTTTCTTTTCTTCTTGTATTGATTTATTCTTCTCCTTCTTCTTTTTTTCCTTGTCTTTTTTCTTTTTTAACTCAAAATGAACTTTTTAAAGTTTATAATCAGTGAATTGATTGGCTGGTTAATATTTTTTATTGTAGGTTCAATATATTTTCAAATTTGCATTTACTATCACAATATTATAGACTTAGGCTAGATAAAAGAACTGGTAATCCACAACATCCGGATCAACATTATCCAACCAGATACCACAACTTTGCATGTAAAACCTCAGAGATATGTTTTGAACCAATTTTTGAGTGGTTGGGTAGAGTAGGGCCTTAGACACAACAAAATATGGTGATCAGAATTTTAGTTTGTGTGAAAGGAATGAAATCTTTTTTGTTGTTGCCTTCACAAAACAAAGAAAATAAATTTTATGATTTCTTTTCCTATTTTTCATAAATTCAAAAATTTATTTTCTATTTATAATTTCTTTTTCATTTTAGTGTACATGTGTTTTATATATATATATATATATATATATATAAAATATGTATGTGAGAGTTTTCTTTATTATTTTCACTTTTTCCCTCTCTCATATTTCTCTCTTTGTGCAATTTCCTCTCATTACACTCTTGTTCTCTTTCTCTTTACCATTTCCTCTTGTTAACTCTCTCTCACTCTCTACTACTTTCTCTCACTCTCTGTCACTTTCTACCATTTTTTTTACTTACTGTCTTTCTCTCTCTGTTTCTTTCTCTATTCTGATGTATTTTTCTCTATTTTATTTCACTTTCTCTCTTTATCCTTCTCTGACCCTGTGTATTTACTAATCTTGGCACCCTTCCATCATTTTTCCATACTTCTTATTTACTACCAATTGATCAATCACTTTTTTAAATCTGATTCATTTTTTTTTAGTCATATCTGTTTTGCATTAGTTTTATTTAAATTTGCTTATATTTTTGAGTATAATCTCTTTCTGCTTCTTTGATTATGTCAGTGCTAAAAGATATTTTCTTTGTCTATCTTAAATACCATATTTCTATTGAAAAATTTTGCTATGTATTCTTTTGTTTGCCAAAGTAAGATGCTACAAAACCAAAATATTAACCTGAAAACTCAAGTCTTAAATAGTCTTGTAAGATCTTGACTCTCATACAGATGTCATGCATCACATCCAGCACATTCAGAAATGTTGTATGAAGCTGATAGTTTATTTAGCTATATACAACTGCCTCCTCATATCAATGATTAAAAATGGCTTCAAAGGAATGAATCATTCAAATCTTTAAGAAAATGATCCTTCATCAGATCCTATAGACTGGCACTACAAAATCCCAAAGAGCATTACCAAATAACAAAAACCACATCACTTGAACACTTCCAACAGCAACAACTAAAATGATGTAACTAGAAAAGAAAATAATGATATAATCAAGCTGTTAAGTTTCCACAAAAGGTTAGGAAGGAAACTCCCATCAATACTTGAAAGAGTAATAAGATTTAGTGGACTCAAGAAGTCTCATTTCCTGAAAAATTGTTTTAAGAAAAAAAATTTTATAATTTTTAACCAGCATTAATGCTGTTCAATTAATGAATGTTGAATGTTTCCTGTATGGAAATGGCTAATATCCCCATTACCATTTCTTGATTCTGCTGTTCAAGGATTTTTTTTTTCATTTTCAGGAAATACAGCGAAAGATTTCTGAAAAGATCAACCAGTTAGAAAACCTGAAAAAGCAGTATGAAATTTTGGTAAAGGGAGGCTTCACAGACAGCAATGGTTCTTTGGAAAAAAAAGTTCAGGAAGCTAATAACCGATGGGAAGAATTGTCCAGAAAAGTACAGAATATTACCAAAATTACAAAAAAGAATATAGTATCATGGGAAGAGTATCACAACTTACACAAAGTCCTCTGTGATTGGCTGAATGATGTTGATTCAAGGATCAGAGAGTTTGAGAAGAGTGACAATGTTCCTGGCAAAAGTGAATGCTTAAAGGTAAGGATTTTATGAGAGACAATTTTCTTTGGAAAACACCGTCTTATTTGTAAGTCTGCTTGATAAATGAACTATAATTATATAAATGTCATCATCAGTCCCATAACTGGATGTTGTTGTAGGGTTAATGTGTAATTGAGCACCGAACCAGTTCCTTCTACATATCTAGGTTCTATTTGACTTTAAAGCACATTTTACTCTTTCAGATGTATCCAAAACATAAACAAAGCAAATTCTAAAGAATTCATTGATTTTATTTGTTAATCCAACAGAGTTTTAGTACTTCAAACAATTTTTAGTGGATACCCATAGTTGAGTAGACACTGTTTATTTTAAACAGTATTTTATTTTGCCTACGGGCCTGCACACTATATATATATATATATATAATTTTTTTTTTAATTATAGAAAATCCAAGAGCAGCAACAGATAAATTCCAGCAAATTTAAGCGATTTAAACATGTGACTGATCAGTTGTTGAATGAGACAGGTGACACTCAGAATAGCCGGCTCCAAATTGAAGTGGATGAATTCTACGATCTTCATGATTGGGTCATTGGACGGCTCAATAGCCTTCTACTTCCCGCAGACCAATATCCCGAGGTAATCATTATTTTCTCTATTAATCATGTCAGGATTAGTAACTGGATGTCTCTGTTTCATCTGAAAAATAAAATATTTGTCAAATAACATGTGCAGATTTATGAAAACTGAAAATTTTCTTTTTTTCTTTTTACACAGAGCAGGTTGGTCTCACCATTTATTCAATCAGCTGTGGTCATTAAAAAAATCTCAAAAAACCCAGGTTTAAATAAAAAAAAAAATAAAGGACATATTCAGAAGTACAATTTACATAGATGTGTTAAGTGGTTTAATGATAGCTGAACATTTATTAAACAACCATCAATCTACCAAATCCAATAACTGAGACATGTTCTTGGTATTGAAGAAGGCTCACTCAGATTTTCCCCTGAATGTTGTAGTCTATTTATATTAATTCTTGCCAGCCATCCTTCTGTAAGCAGAAGGAGTAATTGTTAGGCTTAATTTTAATTAGCCTTTAATTCCTTAGTGCTTACTTTTAGTCACTGTGCACATATCTTATCCTTAATGGAGAAGATCAATGAACTGGTTAAGCAGCATTTTTTGGTTAAATATCTTCTGTATTTCAATATTACCACTTTACAGTAATGTAAGTTTTTGCTATTCTTTCCTTCTGGTTGTTTTACCATGTCTGTTTTTATTGTTATTTTTAAATTTTGTACCTCTGCTAAAGTATTTAAATAAGATTTATACATTTTAACTAATGTCTTTATGAAATTTAGAATAGTATATGTACCGTATCGTGCATAATACAAAACATTTTGAACAAAAATTAAAGGCAAAAAAGGGGAAACATGTACACATTTTCAGCTTAAAAAAATCTCTTGGTTGAAAGACAAGATTGCAAATACACTCAGCCCAATAGATAATAAAAAAGAAAGTAAACGGGTGTTGATAACAATTCTTTACAAAAGATATTTGATATGACAACAATGTTTGTTCTTTGGGAATCAGCATAATTGAACATCTTTACATATACATAGGCATGGCTGTACTATGGGGTCATACTATACTCAAGGATGTAACTTATTCCTTGTTTTTAGCTTCAGAAATAAAGGGTTGTATTATATTCAAGTCATGTTATACAGAAGAAAATACAGTAGTTTATTTCTTAAACAGAATAAAAAACAAGTGATCTTATTCATACTAAAAGTATTATTTGAAGAGCAGAATGTCACAGTATGACTCACATGATGCCTGTTTGTTACAAAAATCTGTTTTACAGAGTTTTTTTTTTTTACAGTTTTGTTAAAATTATATTTTGTAATACAGTTTGGTTTCTTTAAGAAATTGTAGGATATTAGATGGATTAATGTCATGAAAGTTCTTTAATGTTGGTTGGTTGATTTTGTTTAGTAGCTATGGATTATTTAATGCTGACTGAATATTTTGAACACAATTTTATGGCTTCAGCTAAATATATTTTAAATGTAATTGTATGCATTCATCTACAGATAAAATGTATTGTTTTTCATTCTATAAAATTGTATTTTTATGCTTTCATAATGTTTTGTTTTTACTATTTGCCCCTTAGCTGGGATCCTGGGTCAGGGTGGACCTGGGAACAGCTGAAATTAAGAGGTGGTTCCAGAGTCCTCATTTTTTTTTTCTAATATAAAGTTGTTCTATCCATCCACCTTCCCTGAGATGGATGCTCATTGATGTCAAAAACATTCTGAATAACTGCTCTCTCCAGTGGGATTATCCATACATTTGGAGATTTATTGTTGTTTTTACAGTCATAGTATCTGCATCTCATATCTAACAATCTTTGTGCAGCTTCAGAGTTTTGAATTCCAAGTTGTACTACTTCTAAACTGGCAATAAGCTGATTCCTCTATTTTATCCTTTTTAGGTAGAGAATTGTTATGTTTTTTTCTGATTTCTAAGATTTGCTTTGTTTGTGATAAAATCTTTATTTACAAACTCTATTAGTTAAACATTTCACTCTTTTATCGATTATTGTACATTTAAAAATTTACTTTTTGAAAAAAAGAAATTAATGTTTGATAACACAAAATTTAGAAAAATTAAAATATAAAAATTCATTGAGCAAGGTTATTTACCATACCTCCCTGCAAGGCAAAATGTGGCACAAGGCCGTTTTTTAATGTGGGGCAAAACCGAGCCCATAGGCTTGGGTAAAATTCCCCGTAGACCCTGTATGCACAGGGTTGGGTAGCTGGTAGAGTTTGACCAGCACAGCTGGAGATGAATCTCCAACTAATTGCCAAAGCGAGTCATAGAGCCAAAAATACAATTAATTAATTAATATATACAGACTATGAAAGTTGTTTGGACAAGTTGTTCAAAAACTTTTTAATCAATCATTCTCTGGCTGCCTTCAGGTGTACAATTCATATGTATCAAGAAATATCTATGTTGTTCTGGAAACAACAAGAGCAACAATGAAGCCAATAATCTTGAACAACTTTTCAAGTGATGATGACTCACGTTAAAATTACAGAAGGCTGTAGAATGGCTGGGCTGAAATATTGTAGTAAGGAAAAAAAAAAGAAAAAAAAGCTCAATCAGAACAAATTTTGAAGTGATGATGAATCAACTCAAAACTACAGAAAGTATTTTGTTTAAATGTTTGATTTTTTTTTTTCCAAATTTTATCTCATACATGAGCTCAGTATTTTTTTAATTTAGCATGTTTTACAATGTAAAACTTTCTACTGTGATGAAGACTTATTGTTATACTTCAAACTGTGTGCTTAATTACTACCCAGTAATTACAAACAATTTTTTTAAGTATTCTGAATGGAAGATTTTTATTAGTTTACTAATTACACTGCAACAAATAATTTTACTCATTTCACCAAGTTTTACATTTTATGAGTGACTATAACAGTTAGTAAATGATAGTAATAACAAGTAACTCATATCCTCAAAACATCAGTTTAAACTTTCTCCCCCCGCCCTATATTTTGGCTTTGCTTAAAAGGTATATTTTCTTGGTTTCACATGAAAACTTGGAAATTTTCCAACATATTTCAGTGAAATTTTAACTTCCCAAAATTATAGTTTATATATTAAAAAAAGGCACCATCAATTTCAACTGACACTTAGAGGATATGGGTTAAGGCCATGATATCTTACTTTTCTTTGTGTTGCTGTGTATTTGTTTGGTTTCTTTTTTGAACATATAACATTAGTATTAAAAAAAATGTACTATTAATAAATAATGGAATTTATCTAAACAGCCAAATGGTCATATGCCACAAACTGTTGTCCATTTGTTTTTTGTATTTGCTATTAATTTTAAAAAGAAGCCTTCTTACATAAATTATAATTTATTTTTGCATACAAATAAAAGGAATGTTAGATATGTTGAAGCCATTATATTACATCAAAAAGCTTCATTAGATCATAGAAATAACTTTATCAGACTACAAAGGAGAGTAAAAATTAGCTAATAACTTTTACTAATTACTGCATGCCATGGTTATCTTTTTAGTCCAGTGTTATAATGTTAAATATATTAGTAAAATATTGATCTCTTCCAAATAGTCTTCATTTTAGTTATTGTAGTTTCAACATGCATGCTAGACTTTTTCAGGTATAGCTGTCATATTCATTAACTTTTGAGAAATTTCAAGCTTGGCACTTTATTTAATCTACAGTGGAGTATACTTGTATTATTTCAAACTATTATTCTCATCTTTGTCGATATTGTCATATACGAATAAAGTGTTGCTGCCAACACTTGGGTTTGAACATGGATGGCCAGAGAGCAAGCACAGTCGACCTCATCTTGAAATAATTAGATCACGTGATGGGTAAAGAAAAAATATATATATGGGAACCAGCGGTATCTGAACGAGTAATGTACAAAGGTGTTACTATTGAAGTCTCTTCTGCAAATGGGCATTAGAAAAGATATAGATGTCATTATAGGCACAACCTTTCAACCAAGTACACTTTGGTCATCATCAGATGTCTCTTAATTGGCTAATATGGGATTTCTATATGATATTTTGTCTCTGTAACATCAGTTACTTTTTGTTCCTGATGAAACATTGCTCCACTACCTGATCCAAGAATTGAACTCACAACCACCACATGACAGTAACACATGTCTAATCAACCCTTATATCCAAAGGATATTAGTGGTGTGTTTTTGGAGCCTTTCATATTCAATGTCAGATGGTTTTGACATTTGGTTATGATAGTGAGTTTGTACCAATTTTCATAATTTAGTATTTTATTTCAGAGATGAGTAATTGTCAATATACTTGTATTATTTCAAACTATTGTTCTCATCCTGGTTGATATCAATGTTATTATAGATACAACATTTCAACCAAGTACCCTCTGGCCATCATCAGTTGTCCAATAATTGGCTGCTATGGGATATCTACAGTGGAGTAGAACCTTTCATTCTACTGTACATGACAGGGAATATCTAGCATCAGTTAATTCTTATAAAGGTACATATATTTAAAAAGAAACAAAAGGTTATCAAATATGACACACACCTGAAGAATGTTGGAGGGTAACATGACCAAAATATTATGACTAAAAAGTGAGATGATGAAACTAATTCAAATTGATCAATGTATGAGTGGTGCTGAAAAGTTCCAACTTCCTAAAATAACCAAACATCAGAATTTGTTTTTAAGGTCTTCTTGATTAGACCAAAAATGTTTCAGCATCCACCTCATATTATAATGATAATTCTTTATCTCAGAAATAAATGAAACTTTATGACTGTAATAATCAATATGAGGATATTAGTCTAAATAAATCAGTTCATAATAATAATTTCTCATCTCAGAAATTAGACAAAAATCTGCTAAACAGCTGAGAGGAAGTAAATTGATAAATTACTTTTTTTTTTAAAGTCTAAAATTATTAACACTTTAGATTTCTTATCTAAGAAGATATCTGATAATATAGTTTCTTCAATTTTTTTTAATCATAATTGATGACAAATTCACCTTTTTGTTTGTTTCTTTGGGATGTTTGTCTTTATAAATAGTTTGCATGAATATGTAGATATATTGCTCTGTTCTTTTCATTCATATGTTATCTTTAATTAGAGAAAACCTGAATGATAATTAAATTTGCTAACCATCACCTCTTTGTGGGGCAATGGTTAGCAGGTTCATCTATTTGATCATTACTATGAGTTAAATCATCACTAGCAGCCCTGTGTCAAACTATGTAACATCAAGGGAAAAAGATCTGATTTTAATGTAAACAAAAGCAATTCCACTATTTTGACTACATAAAAGGATAATCTTGTCAGCCATTTTATTTCTAATTCAGTTTCTTTTTTACTAAGTTATATACAGAGGCTTTTAATTGAGTAAGTTTTCATGAGAAACTTGATGCTATGAATATCATAAAAGTGCAGGCAAGATCATCCGAACCCATTTTGAAATAAGAAGTGCAAAGAAGACAAGTTATATAAGGTCATTGCACACCCATTGTATATTAACATTCATCATGAAAAACATTAAATTCATCTTGCTCATATCTTCTTTATAGTGATTTTGAAAAGCTATAAACTGCATAATATATTATGATGTCATGTAGAAATGCATTAAATGTAGGCTTTTGTAGAAATGCATTGCAGGCTATTTTCTTAGCTTACTAATATGCAAAATTCATATTGAAATTCCACCCACTTGTCATTTCCATATTGAGAAAAAAATAAATTTATAAAGAATCATTTCTGTTTGTTTATAATTAATGGAAAATAAACTTTACTTTAAACTTAAGTTTCCTATATATATATATATATATATATATATATATATATATATATATATATATATAAAATACCACTTGTTTTCAAAATACTAAAGGAAAATTTCGAGCTGCCTGGGTGAATTCACTTGACAAAGGCAGAAATTTTCATATTACATGTACTCAACTATGTTTTTAACCATTATCCCTCTAGTATCAATTTAAACTGAAACCTTTTTTTCACATATATTGTGACTATTTTGCTTAAAGTTCATATTTTGATTTCAGATAAAAACTTAGAAACTTTCCAAAATATAGTTTTAAATTATTTATATATATATATATATATATATATATATATATATGGAAAAAAGTGGCTTCAGTTTAAACACAAGGATATTGGTTAAACTTTAATAGTCCTAACCGTTGATTGGTTGATTCATGTCTTATTCAGGACATTATCATGGAAGAGGAAGAAAGTGAGGCTGTAATACCCTGCTATATGAACTCATGGACAACTTTTAACCGTGTAGCAATGGTAATACTTCCTTAACTGGAAATCTGATTTACATAATAAGAAATCTTTTATCTAATCCTTATTGAATGTCTTGGCTTCTGCAAGATTGTTCATATTTTAATACTATTCAAATAGGAGATGCTATAAGCATGGAATATTTGCCTGAGTTTTACATACCCCCACCCCACCCTATTCTACCTTTTTAAGATTGCTATAAGATCAACCCAATAAAGATAATAATTCCTTAAAGCTTTGAAATTGGTGAAATTATGTAGATTTTACAAGCAGAGAATTGTACTAAAGGTTAGCTTTACAGCATAGAGTATTTCTTTCTCTAGTTAGTCATAGTAAAAAATAATTAGATTTAGTATTTGATTGTACCACCTGAGAATACTTTACATACAGTGAACATTAACTAAAGACTTAATACTTGGAAAGTGAGAAGAAATATTTTGGCTTTCTCCACTCTCCAAGACCTATATCAAGCATTAGTATATCAATGATCTATTAATACTATAATGCAACAGAAGGAAGAGCTCAAATAACTCAAAGAAATTAATTCACAAAATAAACTGTGCCTGAAAGCATTAATGTCATCCACAAAGAGATCTGTATTTATTACAATTTGTCTCATAGAGAGAAAACAAAAACATGAAAAACACAAGCAGTTTGTGAAAGAATAAATATATGGAAAGTTTTACTTGTAATGTTTCTAGGTGAGACATGGGCAGCCAAGGGGATTTCTTATTTAAGATACATAACTTTCACTGACTTAACTGTCACTGGCTACATTTGTCTATCTCATGGTCTAAACAGCAACTGACTATCCTTAAGCATAGGCTGTTGTCACATGACCTTCATGGTCACTTAGGATATTAGTAAATTTGTCCTGTAAAAAAGATAATTTATCTACTGCATCCCTATAACACAATCAGTGGTGGCTTTGTTTTTTTTTTTTTTTGCTGACATATGTAAGCCTAGAATAGAACAATAAAGATTGCTCAGACACTAGCATTTCAGAGGATAAAATGAAGACAAGGTTGGAATTTCAAAAAGGAGACATGACTTCATTAACTTTATTTAATGCCTAACAGTAGTGAAAACCTTATTGTTTGGTACCGTGAATGCATTAATATTTCATGTGTGCTAGTCTTAAACCAAACAAATGGAATTTTAAAAAAAATATTTTTTAATCATTTCACCCCATGCAAAGCAATAAAGCCACCAGGATGCAAGGGGTTACTGAGAATTAAAGAAACAGAGAAAACAATAAAAGACCAGGATTCAAGGAGGCAGAAAATGATAAGTGACATTGCAATTCAATTTTTAAAGATCATAGTTGACAGGAAAGCAGGAAGCCAGAAGAGTTTTACAAGCAAGAAGTGTAGGAGAAGAAACTTATCATAAGACTTATGGTTACAACTAGATATTTCAACTGGTAAAATCATGAGACCTAGCTGCCAATCTAGTGCTGCACATAAATCTGTGAAAGAAAACAACAAGGAAATCTCAGCAAAACAATTGCCATGAAAATATTTATAGATGATATAAAAAGAAGCTATGTTACATCAGTAGGAAAGTAACTGAAGCCAAGATGATGTCAGTAATATTGATATGGTTCTTTGGATGTTTTCAAGAATCTCTAGAGACATTGCAGAAGCACCATATAAGGCAACAATATTCAATACATGAATGAATAGTAGATTCACAATGTGCAAGATAGATTCTGGTGATAAAAATTGTCTAGCATGACATAGTGAAGCAACTTTCCTAGGAGCAGATTTTGCAATTGATTCATTATAATTATTCCACTTCATGTCAGTAGAAAACATGAGACCAAGGAGGCACATTGAGGTATTCTCTTGCAAGTTAGCATCAGCTATACTATGGAAGGCAAAAAAGGTACTCTAAGATGATTAATGCAGAACAAATTCATTTTAGAGGCATTAAAATTAACAAGCCATTTCTTACCCCAGTTACAACGGATTTAAAATAATTTTTGAGATCAGCTGCTAAAGTGATTTTATTGAACCCTTATTGATTTACAATTAAGATAAGAGTAAAAATCAGGTTGTCTTCATAGATACTGAATCAGGAACTGATGACATCAGCAAGGTTGTTGATGAGAATAAGGAACAGAGTGGGTCCAAGAATAGAACCCTGGGGGACACCTGTATTAATGCAAAAAGGTCTAGACGATTGACCATTCAAGATAACTTTCATTATGTGGTTTGATAAGAAAGATTGAATAAAATTAAAGAAAGGGCCAGAAACATCATAACTATTCAACTTGTGAAGAAAACCAGCATACCAAACTCTGTCGAATCCCTTTGAAATATCTAAAGCAACAGCTTTTTAAAAATTATCATTCATAGGTACTGAAAAGTTTTCAGTCTGACTCATTTTATTAAATAAGGGATATAACTCTGAAAAACAAGTCCAGTTTAGAATTCACCATGTCATTTTCAAAAATTTCATAATTCACTTCATAAAACTTGTGTGCGCCTCTTTTGAAAACCTTTTTTCAGTTAAGTAACACGCATCCACTTTCAGCACAGTGCCTCAAAAGTCATGAAAGAGTTTAAAAATTTTAATTAAATTTGAAAAATGAAATCCAGTTTAAATTTTTATATTTCTTTGTGACTTTTGGAACTGCCTGCATTTTTCTATGCTATCATGTTAATTAACAGCTTGCTTATTGCTTAGTTTTGTGCAACTCTTCTTCATGATCATTTCTTTTTTTTTTTGCTTTTGTCATCTGGCTTCTATCTTACAGGTGTGTTCTGCATTCAACTCTATGGCTCATAGTCAGCCATTCAAAAAATTAACCACTAAGACTACTATTTAGCTATACATAAAATTCTGTGACTTTCATTAGTCTATCTGTCACACCCTCTAAAATAGCCATACATAGACCGATCAGAACTATGTTTTGGGGAGAAATGCAAACGGATAAGGGGGTACAAAGTACTGTTGGTTTTACTAGGGTGCATAGCTTAGTACAATAAATTTTCATTCATTTATTGGAAAAATGTTTTATTATTTAACATATAAAATATTCCCACTATTTTAAAAACAATTTAATGACTAATGTAATAAATATTTGTTTAATAAAAATGCAGTATTGTTTTTTTTGAATATCTTTAAGATTTTATATACAAGAATCCAGTTTCCAGTTCACCCTGCATTTGCAAGAACTATAAATAAATCACTAAGGCCAAACACTTCAAAAAGTTGAAATTTTGCTCCAGAAAGAAGTATTTACACATGGCCAGTTGTATATTGCTTGCTCAAGAGTAAGAAATCAAACAAATTATAAAATAAAGTTAAAGAAATTATTAAAACGTGAAGTTTTTGCCAAAGTATTTTTCCAAACAAATCAGATTATTCAAATTTCATCAGCTGGTTTGCAAAATTGAACAAAACATAGAGTTTGTAAATCTCGACAAAAAATGTTAGCAATAACTTCAACTAAATACTGTGAGGATTTTAACATGCGTAGCATTTTGCAAAAAATTTTAGTAATATAAAATGATCAAGTTTATCACTTTGCTATTGTTATTTACTAATCTTACATTAACTTGTTACAAGGCCGCAGTAGTGAGTCACCCAGTAACTTGTCTTTCTCCTAGACTGGTTAACAATCAAAGCTAAAATGTCTAGTATTATTTGATCGCTATAGCTAGGATAAAAAAAAAGAGAGATGAATTCTTATCTTTCCTAAAACCATTACTTTCTCAGTTTGAATTTCAAACTTTTTTGGATAAATCTATTTTCTGTGCTATTAAATATTAATCCAACCACACCTCCAACATTAATTCTTTCCAGTTATTTATTTACCTTTCCATTTTCTTACCTCATAAGGTGGACAAAGATCTGTTATTATTTTGCTTGTAATAATCTACGTATCTGTCATAAAGTATAATTCATGACTTTAAGCTGCCAATTTTTTCTTGGGTTTTTGCCAATATTGGGTGAAAGAGGTGTAGTTGGATGTAAAAAGATGAAAGATTTTTTCCATATATGTTTTTAAAGACTTACTGCAATGTATACTTGAGAAAACACAAGAATGTATCAGCTGAAATGTGTTAAAAATAACAAGGAAATAATCTGATCCTTGGAATCTTAGAAACCCTTCATCTGAAAACTCCTGGAAAAACAATTATTATAAATTAAATCTTTTACTCTTTGATTACAAAAGAAAAGAAAACATGATGTTCTATTATTGAATCGAAACTGATTATGTTTTAACTTTAAAGCTTTTCAGGTTTCTTTATGTATTTTTAAAATTGACATTCATGAACTTTGACCTGTAAATTGACATTCATATCCTTGGAAAATTAACATTTTATATCCATTTTAAAAAAAAAAAGAAGCATTTTTTCTTGCTTCTCCATGTTTTGTAACTATAAGCTAAACTGTTACACATTGCTTGCTTTTATTCTTCTTATTATCATTTCCGTTATATGGTCTTTGTCTTGTAATGGAAATTTTTAGCATGCCTTAATAAAAGCAATCAAATAATTCTTTTTGTTCAGATTTCATTATGATGTTAACTTTATCAATATTTCCCTCTCTTCTGTATTTTCATTGATATATAGTCATTAATAGGGTGGATAACTTAGTAATATATCTTTATTTATTTTACATTTTCATAGTATAATTATAAGTAACTTTTTATCAAGGTATAGCAATCATCTACCTTACTTTGAAAAACTTTGTATTTACAAAATCTTGAATATCTTGGACATCCTTGTTAAGAAAATTGGGGAAATTACTGTTTTTAAAATTATAGAATAACCATATATATATATATATATATATATATATATATATATATATATATATATATATAATAGGAAATTGATTAAATTTGACTAATATTTAATATATTTTCTGTTTATACATTATTTTTTATGGGTACACTTATTTAAGTAAATTCTCTGTTCTTAGACAGTATTAATTACATTTACCAGCCTAAATGTCCAAGAAATTTTGTAGAAAATATACATTCTCTGGCAGGAAATGAACTTGCATCCTGTGAAGAACAACCATTAAGTCTGGCATGCTATGACCATTCAGCCACAGTGAACTTCCAGTTAATCAAAGCTCAAATTTAATGCTTTTAAATACACACTTTTGCTGATCTTTCTCAGTCTATCATTTCTAAATTTGTATCTGAACATAAACAATAACAATATATCATAGGAAATTGATTAAATCCAACAGATATTAATATATTTTCTGTTTAATTGTTATTTTTCATCCATATAATTATTTAAGTATATACTCTCTTCTTCAATTAAACAGTATTAATTATATTTACTGGCCTGAATGTTCAAGAATTTAGTTAAATAAGTGTCTCTATAAAAAAATAGACAATATATTAAATATATATATATATATATATATATATATATATATATATATATATATATATATATATATAATGACAAAAATTTATAATGGAATTAAAAGTTCAATTAAATCATAGAAGGAAGGTCATTTTTGTTTTTCCTAACCAGAACTTTTAATTTTTTTTCTGTTCTCTTTCCTGCACTCCCCCCCCCTCGCTCGTTTCATTTATCTATCATTTGCTGTCATTTTTTTTACTATATAATTCTGTCAGCACTAATTGTTCATCAGGTAGAGTCATATGGCTTTACTGAAGTTGTCCATACAGCAAAATTTATTCTGGAAAAGTACTAAAAGAAGCATAGGGTTTCACACTGATGAGTTTAAAATCAAAACTGTTTTGTTTACTGATATCAATAAAATCTCACACTTATTCAGTTCCTACCATAAATGCTCTGTCAATACAGAAAAATTTGTGTGAATTTATTTTATCTGAAGAAAACTAAATGATATTGTTTCCAGAATAAATACATGTTGCTGTAAAGTAACTGTTGTATTATGTAATATATGTAAATATTTTATATACAAAATTCTCTGTAAAAACTATTTTAACCGTGACATAATTTTATGTTACCTTTAAAAATTAGACAACGAAAAAGTATCAATGTTAGCATTAAAATTAATAAGGAATTGATAATGAATGAACAAATTGGATTAATTGATTAAATGAGTTAATCAACTTTTGTGTTAACAGGAACCACTTCCTGAGGTGGAACATGATGACTATGCAGAGATTGAGACATATCTCAAATCCTCACCCCCAGTCAGTCCTCCAAGCCAACGGCGAGACAGCAGTCGATATGCAGTGGGTATTCCATATACAGGTATGTTCAGGTTTGGCATTAAAAAATATTTGATAATCGGTCAATTTAGATGCAGAATAAAATCCATTATTATTTGATTACTAATTTGTCATAACATTTTTGTACAATTAAATATTGTCAGTAATAAAAACGAGTGGGTGAAATATAGTTACTGTCAGTTGGTTTTATGAATAAGACATCAGTTTCTCAGAGGAAAAAAAAAAAAAAAAACTTTCATTATATTTTAAAATGTATAGTTCTTGAATTTTTTGTCAATTTTTTTTTTTTTTATATTTGGGATCCTGGAATTGATACTATCATTAGCTGCATATGGGCTTCACCAGAGATACATGGATTTTTTGAATTCATAATTGTCCTTCTCCTAGACAGGTTGTCAACCAAGGCTGAAGAGCCCAGTCTGTGTGGAGAAAGAGGGACCCATATTTTTCCCAAGAGTATTTGTACATAAGTGAATGTAACATAAGTAAGCATTCATTTTGTGCTCCCATTTGGAGATACAGAGGAACTTTCTCACGCATTTGTTCTTGAAAGTCTGGAGTCTTACACCCATAGAGGAGGATGAATATGACCAGCAATTTGTAGATATTGAACTTGGTCTAAAAGCTGATGTTGCTCTTTCATATCCTTTCCACTCTGTTCATCATTGCTGTGGTGATCTGTGTGCAGATTTCTATGTTGCATTTCTACTAGCAGAACAAAATCAATGAATATGTACAGAGCAAGGTCAAAAGTCTTGTGGGCCAACAGGAATCTCTCCCTCACCACTATTAAATGTCAGAAGATGGCATGATTTTGGCCTTGTCACATGGTATAACAACCTCTACAAGACCATCATGCAAAGCACTGTTGAAGCAAGGACTGCTACATAAGAACTGGTCAGACAACATCAAATAGTGGACAGACATGACAATGCCAGAAATAAATAGTGTTTATTATTTCTGTTGCCAATTCTAAAGAACAAAGAAAATGTATAAATTCACTTTCATATGTTTAGATTTATTGCAAATAAATTACTAATCATCGCTTTGTAAAACAAGAAACATTCCTGAGAATGGAAGGTAGATAAAATAATATTAGTGTCAATGGAAAAACTGTACTTTTGACACTGTTTTCTAAGTTTGCCGATATTTTATTTAGAAATAAAATTCAAAAGGTCAAAGAAACAATACATGATCTACTATACATGAACAAATTAATATTTCTATTATTTTACATGTTAATATGAATTCCTTGGCATTTTATAACGTTCATCAATCTTTCATTCATTGATTTTCTTGACTTTTTCTACTCTTTAAACTTTTAACATAATTTGCAGCAGTTTTTATTGCTTCTTAAAGATCTTCTTTGCTTTAAAATTGTTTTCGGTCTCTTTTAATGATGGACATCAAATTGGCTATTGCATTAATATCTGTAGAGATTTGGTAATTCTATTAATTTGGTATCTTTTAAACCTTTTATGGCAATAGTCAGCTTTGTAGAATGCAAAGGAGCATTGCCTTGCAAGAATATACTCTTTAGCTTAAAACTTCTTGGTATCTATACTATACAACAAATATCTTGTCAATAAAGTTGCAATAATTATTGGCATTTATCCTGATACCAACATCAACTTTGAAGGGATCTATATTTTTACCATACAAGCCCAAAATATTACTCCACCTTACCACTGTTTCCATCTTCTAAGTTGTAGGTTGACTATTTCTATGCTCTGGATAATGTAGATCTACAGTCATCAGTAAAAGTTATTGTTGAGAAATCAGTTTTCATGTACTACTTTTCCTAACTACTGACATGATTCTCTTTGTGATCTTAAAGTGTTAATTTGATTGCGTTCATATCTTTAGCCAACATTCTTAATATTTTTCATATTTTCTCTCTGTTTACATTCTCAGCACTATCTTCTTGCTGGTCAATCCAATTTTCTTGCTTATTATCCTTTTAATTTTTATCAAATCTTTTTGTCTTATTTATAAAGTTGCCACTTTTTTGTTTGTTCGTTCATTTTTTCATTTCTTGTCAATATTTTCGATTTCTTTCTGATTTATTTTTATCTTGGTTCAATTTTTTACGCAATTTCAAAAGGAAGGAGGCTTACGGCCACAATACACAAGTTCCTGTATGATTATTGTAGTTAAGCAATATCAAGCATGATCAGTACTTAGATGGGTGACCACTTGGAAATACCAGGTGCTGTAAGTTTGGATGTGCAGGTGGTGTAATGGATAATTGCTCAGAATTGTTAATTGTAGTGCCAAGTTCCAATTCCAGTTGAGTTCATTATATTCACTTATGCACAAATACCCTTGAGAAATGTATTAATCCATCTTTTCTCTCCCACTTATGAGTTAATTAGACTTGTATCACTAAAACCATTATCTCAAAAAATAAAAAATTAAATTGTGTACAAAATATTTAGATTTCAGCACTAAATACCCCATAACCTAGGTTGATATACCACTAAATAAAAACAAGCAACAAACATCAAAAGGAAGGACTCTGTTAATCTGAACAAAATTTGTAAATTTAAAGTCTTTTTTAGAGCTGTGTGACCATTATCAAGTAATCAGTTAATCACAAAAATACCAAGTTGATTTTTACACTTTATAACTTTCTTTTCTGATCATCTAAACCAAAAATTACGAAATACATGGGAAAATTTCTTAAGCCAAAAAAGAATTTTTTCATTTTCTTTTCCAGTCAACAAAGAGGAGTGGTGGCTAAGATTCAAAGAAGAACTTTCCAGTAACAGTAAAGAAGCCCTTGATGCCTACAATGAAGAAATGTTAAATGCTCTTGAAGATTGTGCCCATAAATTAATCATTGCTGAAGAGGCTCTTAGATGCCACACACCTGTTGGACCAGAACTTGACCATCAAACCAGTAATTATGTAAGTATCGATGTTAACTTCTTTTCAAAGAAAGCTTAAAAGGTTTATTTCATTCTTAAACCAGAAAGGTGAGCTTGTAGATGAACCAAAAGTACAACTGATGATGCTTATCATTATACCAAACTGATAAAATGCATGCAATAAGGACTTTATCAATAACATTATTTTGAATATATGTGTTGTAACCTTGGGAAGGTTACTGAATAGAATAATCATATGAAGGTTGGTAAGGAATGATAATACTTAGGGCATGAACAACACATATAAGATTCGCCAGCAGCATGTAGAAAAAGTGAGTCAAGTGAATTCCACAATGAATCTCCAACAGCAGACCAACATACAGTATTTACTACTGTATTTATGTGAATGGGGACATACCCATTATCGTCCATAGGCATGCTACAACAATATGACTTAAGCGTTTGAAAGTTAAGATATTTTTATGCAGACTTTTCACTCAATTTGTCATTATTAAAGGAATGCAGGAACTCTCAAGAATATCCCATATTTGATAGCATATAAAACTCCACTTACATTTAATATTGCAGTAGTATAGAGTTACGTTACTTTCCAGAATTGTTACATTAGTGATACACTTTTTACCAAGCCAAAATGTATATATTAAAAATGATAATTTGATGAAAACTTTGGTTAATTAATGAATTGATAATTAGATGTCAAAATCAGGCAAGTATGAACATTTACATATCTGGAATCTGTTTTTTTTTTTTTTTTTATCATCATCAATTAATGATCGAAAATAAGACCTCAAATAAAACAAAATAATTGCCATCCTCAATATAATGAAATTTTTTAACCGACACTTTCAGCACTTACTTTTTTACTTTTTACCTTTAATAGGTAGAGTAGTGAAAATATTAATACCCTTTAAGTGCAGGTGTTAGTGAATAGATGGTTTGAAATGGAACAAAGTAAAATCATCAGTCTTCATTTTAAAATGTAAAGGCAGAATTCCAGAGAAGAATTAGAAATGATTCTCAAAAGCAAAAATAAAAAAAAAGAATAAATACAAGACCATGTAAGAAAATCATTTCAGATTCATTAAAATGCTTTTGTAATACTTTCTTAATACTCTGGTTTGAGTAATGTTGTAAAGGATAGCATAAGAAAACATAATCATACCAATAAAATCAACTACACTTGTTTAGTAATCAGATACTAATTAACTTAATGTTGCCAGATTTCTTAAAAAGAAATACAGAATAAACTTTTCAAACTGAAATTATTTCTAATTTGTATGTTTGAGTATATATAATGGGGGTAATAAAATAAGCACATTCCATTTCCCCTTTCACTTGTAACCATCCACTAATAAAATAAACATTTTCAGCACTAAAGCTGAATTAGTCAAATAAAGCTTCATAAGCTTCTACTTAGAGTTGTTGCTATATTGCAATAACTGACAGCATGTAACTAATTTCTGTAAATTAATCTTGTTCAGTTTGTAATAAAGTATGTAGAAATAGGGCCAGATTAACAAGACACATGAAATCTCACAATGTCAGTGTACAATCCAATACTGAATTAAAAAAAAAAGATTTTATATCATCTTTTTACACTAGTTACATTGTTCAAATTATTGTTCTCATCTTTATTGGCCGATTTGCAATGATTCGGCCATTGTATGCTCCAGACTTCTTCAGGTGATACATGTTGGAATTTCAAACCATCCACCGAGGTAGATTTTTTCTAGTTCTGCCATGCATTCTGGATATCTCAGTTTCAGTTATTACCTTTTAGTAACTCAAATGTTCAAGTTCAGCTGTTTTGTTCACTTCTGCTGTGGCCAGGTATTGAACTCACAATTCTTTGTTGTGTCAAGTCACTGGATTACTTCAACCAATGCTCTTATCCAATGGCCCATGTGTCCTGGACAGCAATGAACAAAAAACATGGAGAGTTGAGTTACTAAAGGGAAATAACTGAAACTGAGATATCCAAAAAAGGCATGGCATGTGGAACTAGAAAAAAATCTACTCTGATGGACAGAATAAATGGTTTGGTTCAAAATTCTAATGTATATCACCTGAAGAAGGAAGGAGCATACAATGGGCAAAATATCATGAATACGGCAACAAAGATGAGGACAACAGTTTGAATAATGTACATAGTGTAAATAGTTGCAATACCTCATCTCAGAAATACAGACAGATGTATCATCTTTGTTTAAAAAAGAGTTTAAATCTTTTGTAGTGCTTAAGAGTCATTGCAGATCATGCAATTTATATATCACTTGTAAATATTTAAATCATTTTATTTATTTTAGTAAATTTTTTACTGAATAAATTCATATTTATTTTTAATTTTGTAGTGTAATATTTCAATAGTAATTTATCTCTCTCTCTCTCTCTCTATATATATATATATATATATATATATATATATATAAAACAGAGGATGTCTTTCTGTCTGATACCTTTTCACTTGAGATCCATCAAACTGATTTTGACCAAACTGTAAGAGATAGGGTCTTAGCATAAAAAATCGATTATTTATTTAAAAATCAATAAAGCAAATCAAAAATTTGTAAATTCAACTTTTTCCCTCTGATTTCATTCAAATTTGGTATGTAGGTTACTTACATGATGACGAGCTCAATGATACATCATTTTTATTTCTACGCCACTGTGTTTAGCAAAAAATTGTGAAAAACCAAAAATCCATTTCAACACAAATTTTAAACTAAAAACTCTCTCAATTTTCAAGAAATCTAATACAAACTTCACTCAATTGTAGCCAACAATAAGTTGATTGTTTAACAATCTTTTAACTTGATAACTGAACCCACCCATATAGTTAAAACCTGCTTAAATAGTGAAAAATGGCAACTTTTTACTGGTTTCTTTCTTATTTTTCATTGAACTTTCAACCAATTTTCATCAAACTTAACAATTGCTTTATAAATGTATCCTCTTTTACATCCCTGGTAGCACACTGACAAATTGAATTTCATAAATTCCAAAATAATTGTGGTCTGAAGTGAGTCTTCATGTTGCCTGTTTTACCCCTTCATGTCCTTGGCTAACTTCGATTGAATAAATACAGGTTACTTCTGTTATATCAGTAACAGAATTAATTCAAAATGTTTTTTAATGAAAGTACTTTAAAGTAATTAAAAAAAAATAGACTCTGTTACACATAAACATGATGTTGTTTTTGTTCCATTTTAATTGAATGCTTTTTCTGATTGACCAGCTGGGTATGGCTGCTAGTATAAAATAATCCTAACGTATTCATATGTAATCTTAATCAAATAAAATGATTTTTGTGACACAAATGTATGATTTAATATAAAATTAGTGTAACAATGCAAATTGTCAGTGCATTTGATCAACCCAATATTAGAAAATAATTACTTTACATAGTGGCATGATAGAGTAATGGATAGCGGCTCAGAATGAGGAATCAGAGGGTTGAGTTCAAATCCCAATCATTCATTGCATTCTACTAGCTTTAGGAAAGGTATGAATCCATCTCTTCTGTCTCAGCAAAACAGACTGGGTTCTATAGCCTTGGTTGACAACTAATGTAGGAGAAGGAAACATCACTGCTACTACAGTTGCAGTAAATGTGGTGCCTCTATGACCATAATGAGTTACGGGTCTCATGATCATGAGTTTTAGTAGCCATTGGTGGAGAAGTAAAAATAGAAATCGTGCATCAGTTTACACCAATCATATTCGATTAATGAGTTCACAACCATAAGCATCAAGATTTACAAACACAAGTTTTCTGAAATTTCAAGACCATAAGAAACAAATTTAGGTTCTTGAAAATGACCAGTGACAGTTGGAAGTGCTTCGAGATATGCAGATGCACAATTTTTACAAACGAACTGAAAATCTTACTTGAAAACAAGATAAATAAGTGTTAAAACCAACCTTCTCTGTGGAATTCAACAAACCTGCTTATTATTTATGCTCAGACTAATATCCTCATCTTTGTTGATATTATCACAACATTTCAGCCATTTTTGCCTTCTGGACCCTTTCAGATGTCTGTTGATCCAGGTAACCTTCAAGTAATTTTTAAATGAACCCATTATTTAATTTGTGGGAGTAGATTGTCCTCACTCTACTGTACATTTCTAGAAATGTCTTGTCTTCTATCTCTTTTAAGTACTAATCATTTAGTCCTGTTTCCACTGAGTCCCAGTCTGTACTACTGAGCTCAGGGATTGAACTCACAATTACTATGCAGCCAAATTAACCAACCAATGCTTTAATCCTTTAGGCTAATGTTACATGGATATCAGTCTGTCTGTAAATAATATAAATAATAACTCATCATCCCAGAAATTCAAACAAACGATTTTAAGATATAACTGATGTCATTATTTACAGTCAGACTAATGTCCTCATCTTTGTTATAATCACAACATTTCAGTCATTGTGCTCTCTGGTCTTCTTCAGGTTTCTGCTGAGCCAGGTAATGTTCAGTGAATTTTGAACTGAACCCTTTATTTAATCTACAGGGGTAGATTGTTCTTGATCCACTGTCCAAGTCTAGATTTATCTTGTTTTCTTTGTAGTGCTTCTCTGTTTGTTATTGCTTAGTCTGTTTCTACTGAGTTTTGAAAAGAGAAGACAAAATATCCCTAGACATGGGCAATGGAATGAGAAGAATCTGTACCTATAGATTAAATAAAAGGTTCAATTTCAAAATTCCCTGATGGTTACCTAGATTGACAAATACCTGAAAAAGGCTGGAGAGCACAAATGCTTGAAACATTGGGATAATAACAACAAAAACAAGGCCATTATTCCTTGTGCTATGTTAATAACTCTTCATCCCAGAAACGTGGACAGGAACATTTTTAAATTTTGAATTTTGCCTTTTTTTTTTAAAGATTAAGATTATGGCTGATTGTCAAGCAAGTGTGGAAAATGTCCAGAGAGTTTATACCAAAATCAAAAATGAACTTGGATTAATGACTATTGTTACAGTGGAACAAGAAGTTTCAAGTAAGTCATCTTGGAATTATATTAATTTAATTTATTTTTTTTACATTTTTATTAGAACTTTTTATTTTCTTTAGAAAGTTTGTATCTTATAAAATTTATCTATTTTTTTTTTTTTTACAAATTTTATATTTCATGTTTTAAATCATTCAGTACAAGGTAGACACAGAAGGTTCCAGCATTTTTTAGCAAAATCTTTTATTCAAATGAAATCATAACATCATTATTTAATCATCAAACTATTGTAATGAGGGAGAGCTGTGGTAGAAAGATTTATTCTTCTATTTACATTTTCCCTATTATAGGCATTATTATATCCATGATGTATTAACACCACATTTCATGGACAGATTGGAATGGCTGAAAGGAAAAAGAATAATAAACATGCTTTGTTCTCAGAGATACTTTATACTACTGAGACATACACAAAACTGTATATACACGTCCTATGCGGAAAACAATATATCATATATATATATATATATATATATATAGCAAAGCAGAATATAAGGAGAAACAAAAAGGAAGCGTCTTACATGTAATATGGAGATACTCTTGTGTCTGGAGAAGCCATGTTTAGGCCTCCAGATACAAATGGGCCAGATTCATCTAATATGTTGCAAGTGTGGACATATCCCACAAATGGAAAATGGCAAGTCTTGGATTTTCCCAAAATGAGGACTGTGTGTCAGAGTTTCTTTCTATATGCAGGAAATATATTTTCTTAAAAGGAAATGGCACCATGAACTTGTAAGCTGTAGCATTTGGCAGTTAGCTGCCCTAGGTAGGACAAACAAATGTGTGTTTTGACACCAATAAGCTTACTAACTGAATTTGACTACCACTTTGGTCACAATACGGAGTGATGTCATTAAGTGGCTATCACGTGACTTATCTTCACCAAATGGAGATAAGCACCTTCTGTAACTCGATACTGTTTTTCCTGACTTTATCTTACACCACTTCTCAGCTAAATTTCATATTCCCTCATAAAAGAATGTTATTAATTTTGCTTTACTAATACAACCATGCTGCAATAAATGGGTTTCAATAAAAAAAATCTTTATTAAAAGAAACTGGCTTATTATTGAAATTCAGAAATAAAATGGAATCACAAATATCCAATAATTAACACAAAATTGTCAGAGTTTTAATTGAAATTCTGATGAATCTGTTAGAGTTAGTGTAGTTACTCTGTGATATGAAGATGCTATAGATGAGATTATCACAAGTATAACATCATTATTGAGTTGGAAACATAGATGAAGAAAGAAAAGTATTACAAGATTAATTGAATACTTGAACTTAACAGATTCTCCTAGCCTGTTTGTTTTATATAAGGTCTTCTTAAAGCACCTTCATAAGATTTATATTCAATAAGCCATCTTTTGTGAATATGTCTGCCAACTGTTCACTATTGAATGTCCATGAGAGTATTATTTCCTCTTTTTCATTTATTTCTCAAACAATTGACATTTCCACCTGTAGTCTGATGTAACTAATTCTTTTTATTATCTTTGCTGTTTCGCACAAAATCTTATTGTCTACTTTACAGTGGACAGGTAAGATGGCATTCTTGTCATTGTAAAAAATTTCTGCAATTATTTTAGCCATAAACAATGACATGTCAAACCTTTCAAGAAACGGAGATTATGAATGGGTGACGATGTAGTCAACATCGATTATGAATGGGTGACCAATTATGAATTTAACTGACACTTCATGATGTTACGTACATACGTATTGTTTTCTGCATGGGACGTGTATGTCTCAGTAGTATAAAGTATCTCTGAGAACAAAGCATTATGTCTTCTTGTATCTCTGCTGCTAATGTAGATTTGAACAGTCTTCATCTTAGTGGAATTTCATATCAGTGGACAAGCTGGAAGATTAGCCTCACTTGCATTACGTTATATGTTACAATCTTTAAATCTGAGATTTTTAAACCTCCCAAATTGGATAGCACTAGGCTTGTTTTTCTCATGCCTTAAGATCTTATTTGCCTTTGATGGTTAATTTAGCATTTGTGATTGCAGAGCTAAACTGGCAAACAGTAAAAACTGTCAAGGTGTGTCATGGCAGCTATCCATCCAATTCAGTTGTCTGATAAGGAACTTCAGTTTAGCTTTCTCTTCAATGATAACTACATCATTTTTTGAAGTTGCCAATCACCTACTTCAGCATAAATGGAATATGGCTTAGCACCACATGTAACTATGTAAATGATATGAAAGCAAACAAACAGACTGAAAATTACTGAAAATGTGGATCTAAAACTTCTTAGTGCTTTCCACTACGATGCTGAGAAGAGTTGATTTCCCTGCACCAAGTACATATAACCCATTTTTCTTCTTTTATGAGGTGTGTCCCTTAAGGACATAGGCGATCATGGCTCTCCGCATCTTCCTGCCTCAAGTAGCTCTTAATAAGTTTTGTCTTTTTGCTATTTCTCCCAAGTCCTCTTCTACCATCCATTTACTCAAGCTCATCAAGTATGTTACATGCTACTTTCCTCTCTCCCTCTTTCTCTGTATCTGTCCTGTGAGTATCAGGTTTTCCAAGCCCTCCTCTCTCTATAGGTCTTCTTTTATGTTCCGTGTCCCTTAAAAATGTAAGCGATCATGGCCCTCCATATCTTCCTGTCCCTTGTAGCTCAAAATAAGTTTTGTCTTCTTGCTATTTCTCCCAAATCCTGTTCTACCATCCATTTATTCAAGCTCATCAAGTATGTTACATGCTACTTCCCTCTTTCCCTGTATCTGTCCTGTGAGTATCAGGTTTTCCATGCCCTCCTTCCTCATTATGTGCCCCAGAAATTTTAACTGCCACTTCTTGATGTTACATATAAGTTTCCTTTTCGTTTTAATTTTCTCTAAAACCACATTTCCATTGCTTCAAGTTTCTTCATCTTTGAGGAGATTGTCCAGCATTTGCTGCTATATAGGAGGACAGATATCACATAACAGTTAAATACTCTTTATTTAAGTTTACCCTTTCATGTTGATAAACCAGCTTAAAAAATTTAACTTGTCTTTATTTTATTTTGTGAAATGCATATATGTGTATGTAGAGTGTTAGGTTAAGTGTTGTTTTACATTTGCAATATGAAGAAATAAGTGTCTTCATAAGGGTGTGGGAGAGAGGTGCTAGGGATTTGACCTGAGAGCCAAGTGGGTAGCAGCTGGAAAAGATTTTGTTCTACTGGTCTCAATCATATGCCATTTGTATCTTGGATAGTCAATATTGTCTCTCATTCATAATCAATGCTGACTACATCGTCACCCAATCATAATCAATGTTGACTACATCGTCACCCATTCATAATCGATGTTGACTACATCGTCACCCATTCATAATCGATGTTGACTACATCGTCACCCATTCATAATCGATGTTGACTACATCGTCACCCATTCATAATCGATGTTGACTACATCGTCACCCATTCATAATCGATGTTGACTACATTGTCTCTATTTTGTGTCCTGTCTCATCTATATTATTGTGTCTATATACTGTCTATTTTGTGCTCTCTCTATTTCCTGTCCATAATCAAACTGTTTATTGTAGATGTGTCAAGCCGATGGAAGCGTTTACGAAGCTGCATTATTGAAAAAGATCTGAAACTGCAAAATAATCGTAAGGACTGGTCACAGTTCAATACTGACCTAGACAATATCAACAAGTGGCTCAAAGCTAGAGATAATTGGCTCAATTCCATCAATGTGTCTGAACTGAGCATACCCCAAATGGGAGGAATCATTAAAGAACTAAAGGTAAGTTGATCCTCTTTCTGAGTTGACAGTCATATATTTGAAGAAGATTTGTCTTTGTGTTTTAGCTATTAGAACAACAGATCTCGTATCTACCATCAAGAAGAGAAAGTTTAAATGGTTTGGCTATGTCATAAGTGTCAACAATATTTCTGCTGCCATCCTTCACGGAACTGCCTTAAGCAAAAGAAGAAGAGGCAGACAGAGAAAAAATTGTCTGGCAATGTCACTGAGTGGACTTGAATACATTGACATGCAACTGAGACACATGAAGAGTGCTGATCAGTGACCCTATGACTATGGGACTGATGATAATAGGCACCTGTTCTTAAGAGAATAACTAAAAACGGAAAATAAGGCTCTTTTGTAAGCCAGAATGTAACTTTCACTTCTGTTTCTGCAGGCTGATATTGGTTTTTCTTTTCTTAAATTTTCTATGCTGAAATAGGGCTACATCTTGTATGTCACTTCAGGCATATAGAACCGCAACAAGGAATTCACCACTCTCTTGGAAATTAATTTTCTGCCTTATTAAAATTTGTTTTATCTCCTATCTTAAATAATGTAACAAGTGCTTAGCATTAACACTTTACTAAAATATTTTGTGTTGGTAAGTTCACCTTTTATTGTTCTATAAAGCTCTTAGGTCAAAAATTTGAAAGCAAATGTGTGATGATGGCAAGGCATAATCAGATTTATCTACACATTAGCATTACTCATGAAAATTTCAGTTTTCTTATTTGAATTTTCTGATGGATCATAATTTTTAATTTAATGATTAAATAAGCCCCTAATAAACTCCATGGCTGTAAAACATACATGGAAATTCCCCAATAGCATTGTTAAATATTTGAGCTTAATTATTTCAACAAGACATTGCAATAATAATCATAAATATAGATGCAGGTCATTATTTAAAGAAGTACAAATGAAAAATGTCAAAGTTAACAAGGTTTTCCATTTTACTGAAACAAATGTTAAGTTCTAAGAGCATTATTGTCTCCTCCATCTTCTATTTCTTTCTTTCTTTCTTATTTATGTTCTCTTTTTCTCACTGAACCCAAACAGCATATCTGATATGCACCCTTGTGCAAATTAATTGAAACAACTGCTTTAGTTTCCTTTCTTTCACCATACGGTCAGTTTTAGATCTAATGGAGTGGCAGGGTGTAATCAATTTCTATTTTTTCCTAAGATTAGGTCATTTGCAGTGGTGTGCAGTAATATGATTCTATTTTGGGGGTGTATGATGCAATTTTTTAGGTCTTGAAAAATATTGCATCATCTGTGATTGCATCATCAGATTTTCATCACACCCAGACACTATTGTCTCAACTGTCAATTAGTTATCCTATGGCCATTGTCTGTGATAAACATTACTCCAAGGAAGCATACGAAAACTGTAATGCTGCATGAACACACTGACAAGCCTTACCAGTGAGCAAATCAAAGTACTATATAAACTCTCCTGATTTAAATCCAATTGAGAATCCGTGTTCAATTTGCAAGGAACAACTTTGTGAAATGGTCATACAAAGTACTAACATGTGCACTGGGTTATGTTTCACTGGAAATACACAAAAAAAAATAAATAATAACGGAATTATTCATTTTGTTGAAATTAATTTGCACAAGGGTGTATAGGCCAGAAATGGAGCAACAGTATGGCTTTGTTTAAGACACTAGACCAAGAAATGTGATTTTTATGATCAGAGCAATTAATATCAATACAGAAAAAAACTGTATCTATGTTTCAAGCATTTGATAAGGTATGACACCTAGGAGCTACTTGAAATATTAGCAATAATTTAATTTACACAAAAGATATTCAAGTAATTCCTCACCTTTTGGGACCAAAGAGCCTGCAGGAAGATAGAGGACAAGTTTATTGAATACACAATAACAGAAAAGTGAGTGTAAAAATGATGTTTTCTCTCATCAGATATATGTGTATATAACTCACATTAAGAATGTATTATTCTTCTTTTGAATACATAAATTGAATTACATTAGTATTTTGTTATTTCTCTTGCAACACTTGTCTGTGTGGATTTATATTAAGTCATCCACTCAGAGGTGGATTCTTATGGTAATGGTACCATTAGTTGTTTCCTTATAAGAAAACATTTAAGATTCATTGATTAAGCAGCAAGCCATACCTTCAGTTGAAATTTGTAAAAATTTTCAGTTTTTCAGGAAAATAAGTTTTTCAAGTCCAGTAATTGTTATTGCTCTTTCCAGTATTGATGAGGGATTTCCTTCCTAACATTTTGTTTGAAATAGTGTGGAACATAATGGTGTTGATTATGTTAATATTTTCTCTTTGAGTTACACGTGTTATCCATTTTAATTGTTGCTTTTATTGAAAGTTTTCAAGTGCAGTGGTTTCTGTTATCTGTTACAGTTGTTTGTGATTCTGCCATGCCAGTCCACAAAATTTGAAGAATGATACTCCTTTCTAAGGTCTACAGGATTCATTCTCTCAAAGCCATTTTTAACCATTAAGCTAAGAAAGTGTTTGTATAAAGCTAACAGTTTAGATATTTCTAAATGAGTTTGATGCCATATGTGCCATCCATATAAAAGACTTGATCTGATGTAGCTATTTAAGAACATGATTCAAGTTTTTAGGTTAATGTTTTGGTTTGTAGCAATTTGCAGTGTTGGGCAAAACTACACCTAACACAACCTATTCTATGTTCAATTTCTTTATCTCCATTTATGATATTTACATAATTCAAACTGTTGTCCTCATCTTTATTACCATAGTCATGGCATTTTGACTGTTGTACACTCCAACCATCTTCAGGTGGTATCAGTTGGAATTTCAAACCAAACACTTTATTTAGTCTGTGGAGGTAGATTGTTCTAATTCCATGTGCCACGCCTTTTTTTAGATATCTTAGTATCAGTTAATTCCCTTTAGTAACTCAATTCTCCAATTTTATTGTTTCCCTCTGCTGTGAGGTATTGAACTCACAACTCTTTGGGTCAAATCACGTTTTTGGATTACTCAACCAACACTTTTATCCACTGGGCTATGTGTCCCTGGGGACACAACAGCTGAAATGTCATGAATATGGTAATAAAGATGAGAACAACAGTCTGAACAATATATATAGTGTAAACAGTTATAATACCTCATCTCAGAAGACAGATATTTTTTTATCTCCTGTACTAAATTTGTTAGTTGTATTGATACATTGAGGTATTTGTAGTGTTTAGCATTTATTAATTCTGCATTTTGGTTTTTTTTTTTGTTTTTTAATGATGGATTCAGGATAGTGCTATCACTGCTTCCATTCCAATTATAAATCATAGTTCCTGTTTTGGAAAGATTTATCTTGTGTGCTATTTCTTGGAACATTTGGTAGGTAACTCAATATCCATTTGGGAATGAATCTACCTTGGAGGTCAAAATGCTATGCCTGATGAATTCATACCTCAGCCCTTACTCATTTTTACTTTATATTGCAGGACTTCCAGGATGAACTGAAATCAAAACAGACAATTGTAGAATCCTTGAAACTGACTGGTGGCATCTTTTGTGAAGGACCCTTGGAGGAGAATCAGCTCACTAAACGCCGACTGCAGATGATGCATATTAAGTGGGAGGAGTTGACTGCTAGATGCGAGCATCTAGTGGGTGAGCTGAGGAGGAAACTCTCAGAGTCTGATTATTTCCATGAGGAAGTAGAACGTATGCTCATATGGATAAATCAAATGGAGGCCAAGGTGCAGGAACACCAGCCACACAACATTGATCAGCATGAGAATAATGTCCAGTGGCAGTATGACTCATTGCAGGTGAGTGTCATTGTCATATAATAGCTATTTAAACACAACAGTTTAATGTGGACAAAAACTGTATTTATATTTATCTATTTATTTTACAGTCACTGAAGAGCGAGATTAAACAGCAGCAACCACACATTTCTGCTCTAAAAGAAACTTCAAGACATTTACACAAAGATACCATTTCTCCTGCTGTTGCTAAGTCCAAAGATGATATTCACATTATAGCAGCAAGAGCACATAGCCTGCTACAACAGATTATGACTTGCTTGAATATCTTAGAATCAAGACTTGATTTCAAGAAAACAGTAAGTGGAAATACAATCTTTTCTTAATTTACATACACACACCAGTGGTTTAGCTAGAGTGTGTGCCACCTGGGGTAGCCTTTGAGTTTGCTGTACCTCCTCCACCCCTCTCTACAAAAAATACAATGTATAACACAGTGACTCCCTTATCTATATATATATATATATATATATATATATACTTACAGATAACACCAGTGAGGAAAAAAATGTCTATTTATTAACATATTTATAGCTCTGTTATATTGCATTGAGCACCATTTTATTAACAGCATCACTCAATATGTGATATTATATATTTATTTATATAAACTATTAACAGGCCAAAAAGATGAAAAATAGAGCAACATATACCCTCAAATGAACTTCTGCCTAGGAAAATAACTGAAATTTATATGATAACAACCAAGATGTGTCTCCCACACACAGTAGTGCTGAGGCATGAATGCAATCTGGGTTCATTTACAGGTTTCATATTGTCAACAATGATAAAAAAACCATGAATATATCACTGGATAATGTTTATTTTTCAGCCAAGATAACTGCTTAAATACATGAGCCATAGTTTAAGTTAGTCACAATCAAAACGGTTCTTCAACTGTGAGTAGTGTCTCAGTATGAAAAACCACTTTTATTTCAATACAGGCTTATACACCAGACTCAAAAGTGCTGCCCCCATAAAAGTGTTGCCTAACGTGGATCATCCCTCTCTAGCTATGCTACTGGCACACTCAAAATCTTGTAAAACATTTAATGTTTTATTATACCTTTTTTAAAGATTTCTTTTAGAAAATATTGAGATTTTCTTTTACTTTATAACAGTTAATACCAATGAAAAAAATTACGGATGTATTTCCATGAGATTATTTTTATTTTTAGATGAGAAACTAAGCAATTTAGTTGTTATAGTTTCATGACACTTGCTCATATTTGTAGTGATGAGCTTATCTTGTGTTATAATGGATTTTCTCATTACTGAGAAATGAAAGTAAATGATTAATCATTACCCAATGGACAAGTCTATTGTTATGGACTGAGAAACATAGTCATTCTGCTTATTATACAAAACAGGTAATTTCTATTTAAATTTCTGGAATGAGGTGTTATTATTTTCAGTCATAGAAATCTTTGTTTTCATTATAATGTTTCAGTTGCTTAAGATGTCTGTCAGTCCAGCTCTGAAATGCCATAAAATTGTGAATATTCTTTTTGCTTACCAGATAAAACAAGTTTTGTCACTGTTGGTAAAAGTCTGTCTGGTCACCATACCTCTGTCCTAACTTCTGCATTTGGTATTCTATTTTGTTTTTCCTCTTTTATTGCAAGTCAGTCACTGGTGCAGGAGATAGTGGACAGATGTTGGGACCAGACAGACTTAGTGACATCATTAGTACTGGTTTCGTATAGTGCTAAAAAAGAATTACAGTTGTATGATTTTTATTACTTGGATCAACAGACCCTTGAAGAAGGACAGTGCAATGGCTGAAACATTGTAATAATAAACAAATAGGACATCAGTTCAACTGAAAATAAAAAATAAGTATAGAATATGTACACTATTTACATTATTCAGACTACTATTACGTTTCAGCTGTTGTACGCTCCAGCCTTCTTCAGTGGATAAAGGTGTTAGTTAGATCCAGTGACAAGACCCAAAGAGTGTGAGTTCAATACCCGGTTAAGGCAGTGGAGAACTTGGAGAGGGGAATCAAGAGGAGATAACTGACATCCATTAAACATGGCACGTGGAACTAGAACAGTCTACCCGAGTGAGCAAAATAAAGGGTTCAGTTTGACATTCCAATCATCTGAAGAAGGCCGGAGTGTACAACAGCCAAAATGTTGTAATAAATATGAATAATATAAATATAAATAATAGTCCAAATAATGTAAATAGTGTACATAATACCTCATCTCAGAAATATAGACAGATACTGAAGTATAGAATAGTTATATGATCTTTAATACTTTATTATACTTTCTTTAAAATTTATTTTTGTAAATATGGAATTTTTAAAAACTTTTTATGGACAATTCTTACAGGTTTTGCTTAAAAACTAATTAAAATTTAATAGATATTGAAGAAAAACAGTATTTTATTTATGTTTGTTGTTGATTTTTTTTTTTTTTTTTTTGAAGTAATTGTAAACTTTTTAGTTTTTTTTTTATTTCAAACTTTTTGATGTTTAATGTCTCTTTTTTTTTTTTTTTTGAATTTTGGAAAGAAACTTTCTATTTTTTTCTCTCTCTTTCTAAGATTGTTTTCTTTACCCTTGATTTTGAAACCCTCTACACAACATGATTTCGCCACATCTCCCCACCAAGGTTTTGGTTTTGTTTGTCCCTGCTTCAACTTTCTATTTTTGCTCTGTCTTTGAATTCACACAGTTTAAATAGTTTTTTTTTTCCTACTCAAATTTTGCTTACCCTTCAGTTTTGGCTATTTTGTTCCCACAGCTCTTCAAGTTTGCCTATTTTTCCACTCCATTTTGACCCCACTTTCAACCCACAACTGATTTTTTTGACAGGCTGTTTTTATTAGCAATTTTGGCTTTTTTCTGTCTTATTTTTTTTTTTATATATTTTTGTTATATTTTTACCTTTCAGTATTTTTTCATTCACTTCTTTGCAAAAAATTTTTTTTTTCCATTTAAGACTTAACTAGATCTGTTTTTTTTACATCCATTTTTTTTAACACACTGATAGAAGATAAAATTGCAACACTTGAATGTGTTTCAATTTCTCAAAATTAAAAGGTTATGTAGATAATGAATATCATCCTGTGATACATTGTCTTGCACCTATTGAGGCAATAAAGTAAACATTGTAGATGGACTAAATGACTGAGTCAGGTATTTCCCCATCATGACATATAGCAATTGTGCTAGCCAGGGAAGCTGTTGAACATCTTACAGGGCATATTGTCCATTGCATCAGCTGGGCAACCATTATCTTGTTGGAACAGCACATCATCTTCCTGTTGCAGAAATGGCAGCAATATGGGTTGGACCAATGTTCTGGCCATACATGACACTGTTCAACATTAACAAAACAAAGACAACCAAGAGTTGTAACTTATGGCACACTACATCATAATGCCTGAAGTTGAGTCTGTATGTCATAGATGAATACACTTCTGAAAATGTCACTCTCCAGGTATATATTGTACACAGAAATAAACCAACATTTTCATGAAGGTATAACCTGCATCCATCACTGAACTCTACAAAGCTCCATTCAATACCCCAGGTAAGCCTTCTGTTGCACCATTAGTGATGTGCACAACTGTGTTTTGGTATAAGTGTGAGTCTAGAAACTTATATGCCCATAGTCCTGCTGCAAGTAAACATCTCACAGCAGTCCATGTTAACACTCTTGGAGACATATTTGCTCTGATTTGTGCTGTGAGCACTCTACAGTCTGCTCTCACAGTGTATCAGTCTTGGTAAACTTTATTTCAGACCTTTACAAGACCTGCCTTGCCACATCCACAGGGTTGAATCACTCTCATTCCCTACATGTTCCACTGGTAAAAAGGATGTTCTTCTCACACAGCTTCTTTTTAAGAACTACTACTTTGTGAAATGAACTTTCATGTGGATGCTTCCTGGAACTTGACAATCTTTTAACCAATGATTAATCATTATCTATCCACCATATCCTCATAATCTTCACTTGTTATTTCCTCCTCTTATACCCATATCACAAACCCATTCACATTCAATAAACTTCTACATTGAGTGGCTCTTGGGTCTTGTATTGGTGGAAAAGTAATGTATAAAAAAAGAACTACATGGCCACCAGAACCTGATCTATAGTTGTAAGAATATTCAATTACCACTGTTAACAACATTAAGGCACCATCAACCCGTTGTATTCACCAAAATGAATGATATTTTGGTAATCCACAGTTTAACCCCTATCAGGTAGCTCTAATTGAACAAAAGGAGCTTGTTTCTCCATGGCATGACACCAGTATACACTAGACTTTATCACCATATTGAACCTTATCATAACATGCATCATTGTCTAAAGTCCAGACACAGATAGTGCACTGGTGTGAATGTTACTACATCACACAATAGCTGAAGACTTCGAAAAATTTATCAGAATAACTATCCTCTGGCATCCACATACAGTCACAAGTTCCATAATCTTTTAGGGTCACAGTGGTACTACATATACTGTAGCTATAGCAGTAGTGGCATGTCTACAGTAAGACAGGGCCCATCTATCTTCAGGTTGGTTTTGAATTCTAGAATGGTTTCCACCTCAAGACAAGATAGGGAGAACCCAGTCAGCTTTGCTCTTTAATCAATAGTTTGGCAAAAGAAGAGATAGACTCACACTTGTAATGAACTCTGCCATAATTTGAATTCAGCTCACTGGTTTATCTGAGTTCTTAACCATTACACTACCCACAAAGAGTGTACTCAAATAAAAATTAGTATTATCCTTCAAAGATTTGCAATTTTATTTTCTCCTTGTGTATTTTAGACATTTTTTTTTTACCCCTCAAGTTTTCATTTCTGATTAAAAATAACAGTCAATTAGTTTCTAAGTAATATGTTCCTTTAGTGCCATTCTTACATGTCATCATTTATGCAAACTAATTTTGTAGGTATGTCAAAGCAGCAAAAATCAGGAATGGAGAATTTTGTCGCCATTTCATTTTATTCGAAAGGTAACCCTGAAAGCCTCCCTCCATTTCTGCTGCCTGTTGCCTGCTGCTTGATAACAGACACAATTTCCGTATTGCTCTCAACTGCTTTTAAGATGAACCTTTGTTGAGATTTTATCCAGACATTCCCTCTTTTTTTAATTCCTTCATTCAAATCTTTTACCAAGTTCTGATTCAGCAGAATATTTACATTGCCAATGAAGAAAAAAAACTGTTTAGGATTAGTAAGGAATTACCAATAGAAATCCCATAATGCCACAGTTCATTATCACAAAATCCTTTTTTTTTTTTTTTTTTTTTTTTGTAAAAAAAAAAAAAA